TATATGACTTATATGAGGTGGATAACCAGAACGTCTCAAACCCCATCCTACTCATCACCATCAAACGCTTACTTCCTGGAAAACTTTAGTATTACATCCCCCATCACCAAAAACCACATGGGTATAACTCTTTTTTGTACAGTAGTCCCCTCTTTATACTTAGAATTCGCAACCGATAATACAATCACACTCTTAAGGTCACTTTCTAGAAGAATGATAGCCTGGATCCAGACCTGTATAAAAACATTTTTAGTGTTTTGTTGAAACTCCATTTGGGAAAGATTCCTGCATCATATCCCATTACCTTAGGAAGGATTTTGGTTTTTTAAAATAAATTTAATGATAGGCAAGTATATTAGTATTTGAAAAACAAATGAGTTCTACTCAGAATGTTTAGAGACTCTTAACATATTCACGATTGGTTGATCACTGGGTGGTGATCAATGTCATGTGTGTGAATTCCTTCTTAGTGCGAATCGAATGCTATCGATCAAGTTGCAATGTGGCCACTAGTTTAGTGACTCGATACTGCGTGCACTATGTTGAGATAAGATGGTGATCGAAGGTGGTCATCAGGAAACCCTGGACCTGGGTACACCTTGCTACCAAGCGCCAATTAGCACGAAACCCGGGTCAAAGCCTTCCTGTTGACCACCTCCAACCACCATCTTTACTCTTAACATACAGTAACTGGATTGCAAGAAGATAAGAAGGAATATTATCAAAATGTATTATACCGCCCTTTTTTCAGCTAAGCAGACTAATGATGCTAAAGATGACATAGATATTCAGGGTTTGATAACGCTTTTGTTTGTTGCACCTCTGTAATCCAATGATGCCAACTCAGTCGAATCAGAAGTCCGAAATGAGGATATATTTATAAAGCTATCGATACGTCAAGAACGTTTGGTCTAAACAAGACAACAGTTGCGGTGAGTGCATTGCACGGAGTACCCATTAGTAATCTGTTTTGAATGCGTAGCCGATTGCCTTTAGCTAGTGTGGGTCAGCATATTTTTTCAGGACATACAGAACCATTTATTTTGGGGACTTCTTCATTGCTATAATATATTTCAGTAATAACTTACAGTTAAGAGGAAGTCCACTCAGATGGTTTAGATAGTTCTTAACGGAATAGAAAAAGCTTTTACCTAATGGACTTCCGTATCTAGTAGAAGTAGATCACCGATACCTCAGGTAGGAACCTAGGTATATTATCGATAAAAGAGGAGAAAAAAGGTTGGAAGATCATATTAAGATGCTGTCTTTAGTCCTTAAGAATAGGTCAAGTTTCCTCCTGAATTCCAATGAAAACTCGCCTGGACTAGCTGAACATGTAGCGATTTCCAGCATTTCACTACTCTTGAGGAGTAGGTGTGAATATGGTCCGTCCTGCTGTGTTGTGTTCCAAGTTTCAGGGTGTTACCCCTGGCGTTTGTGTTGGGATTAAGCTTATACAGATGTTTAAGGGGATGCCCAAAAGTGTTAAATATTATGTATGCCGATAGAAGTTCACCTATAAGATGCCTGTACTCTACTGTGTTAAGGTTCGGCGATTAAAGTCACTCTTCATAAGGCTTGAATTTGAGTCCCCGAACTGATTTCTTGGATCACTGTTGGATATGCTCCAGAGTGTCCTTATCCTTTCGGAGCGAGGGAGGAAATACTGTGTTGAGGTGCTTGAAATAGGGACGAATAAATTTCTTGAAAATTATTTGGAAAGTTCATCCGTCAAACTAACTGGACGTGCACTTCAACGTTATCCGGGCAAGTTTGCTCTATAGGAATATTTTCCGCAGTTAGCTTAAGACGTCGGACAACAAAGTTACAACACTTCTAGATCTTTTTCAACTTGGGATACATCTAGAGGGGAATAAACTTAGTTGTCGTTGTAATGCACAACAATTTTAGATGGACTACTTTCAACTTAGAAGTGTCAAAGATAAGTCTGTTGTCATCTGATCAATTTTGAAGTTGAGTCAGATCCTCCTGAAGTGCCAGTTTATTGCCTTGGTTACATACTCTTCTCCAGAGTTTCACATCATCTGTGAAACATGATAAATCTGACGATAACTGCTGTGGAAGATCACTTACATAAATCAAGAAAAGAAGAGGCCCGAATAATGAACCCTGAGGAACCCCACTAGGACATTAGATAGCCTGAGAGAGATTGAAGTTAGCAGTAACCTTAATATGTCGACTTCTTAGATATGAAGTGAACCAATCAATTAACGATGATTTGATACCTGATCGTTCGAGCTTAGTGACAAGGCATATATGGTTGACCCTATCAAGAGCTTTTGAGAAATCAATGTATATGATGTCAACCTTCCTCTCGGGATCAAATATGGTTGTTCATCTGCCCACCGCAGTCAGCAGGTTGGTTATACAAGATTAACCCTTCCTGAAACCACGCTGTTTGGGTGAAAGGAAGTTTAAGGATAATAAGTAGTCGTGTATACCGTCACACATCAGAGACTCCATAATTTTTGAAGGTACGGAGAGAAGGACCACCAGTCGTTAGCTAGAAGGTTCGCTGAGTCGAGCACTTTTGAAAATTAGTGTTATGTGAGCCAGCTTACAATTTTCCGGTAATGTGCCTCAGCTTAGCGAGTGGGAGGAGATCGCGCTAAGGGGTGTAGCCAGGATTGAAGCTGCTTCCCTCAGTATAGCAGAATGAACCGTATCGAGATCAGGAGGGTGTCTTATATATGCGCCAAAGTTTCTGGTGCACCAAGACAGCACTGAGGTTCTTTTCGGAAAGTCCTGTGCAGTTGCAGATGCAGCTTTCATCAGTGTAATCGATATGGGCCGGTTGAAATGTCCGAGAATATTGTTCAGCCGAAAGGTCAGGGGCATCCTTATCTTTATTTGTCTGACCATTAGGACCTAGCAATTAGGAAACTCCAGTTCTGACTTGTCCAAGAGATGTTGCATAACGAAATAAGCTTTTCGGATTGGAGACAAACTTATCGACAAGTTTCATTTTGTACTGAAGCCTATCTTCTCTTATTGCCTTTGTGCATATGTTCCTTATATGTTTGCATTGCCTGCACGCGCATTTGTCATCAGTTCGTTTGTATTCCGCGTCTTTTGCAGCTTAGCAAAGAAAAAGTGCGGCTCTTGATAACTATAAGTTGCTTGTAGATTTTGGAGACCGTTTGAGCAACTGAATGCTTAGTAACACATAAGAGCGTGTTCAGTAAGAAGTCCCAATGACCGTCTACATTATGTTGGGGTGATCTTCCCAATCCACCTGTCGTGAATAGTCTTGTAAAGCTGACTGTTTGAAATTCCAGCGCCTATTGTTGGTGGGCTATCTTAGCTCACTTTTGCTGACAAAACTGAAGTTTATGATAGTATGAGTGCTTTTCCTTGTTGGAGCCAGAATTGAGAGGTTGTCAACTACGAATTGTTCATTAGTAAATGCGCAGTCTAAGAGCGACAGCGTCTGTTTCTCCGACTTGCCGACTTCACGTTTTCGAATAATCCCAGTTCCTCAATGGGGTTGAGTAAACGAGCTTCAGTTGCGTTTTCACCTCCAACATAGGTATGTTCCGCGAAGTTGACTTTAAGAAATTTGAAATCTCCTAGAATCAGGATATGAGAGAATCCGAGACGAGTGAGGCGGGTTACTCCTTCCAGCATACGATTGTCGTACTCGATATCAGCAACGGGCCTCCTGGAGATGACTCCAACTAGACACCTCAAGGTGGTAGAAAATCTTACTGAGCACAATACGGATTCATCAGGATTGATAAACTCTTGGTTGTGTACTTTGTGTACCTCCGAGTAAGATCGAAGGTATGGAGCTACTCGGTAGGTTCAGATTGAGGACCTTTTTTTGGTAGTGCAAGCACGTCGAAGATTCCTGTACTCCTTCCGGATTGGTTGGGCAGTTTTAAGAGTATACTGTACGGCCACATCATCAGTTGGTTTCAGTGCAATACCCGTGATGTTCCGCTTCTTAGATGGTGGCACTTTGTTGACGGGGTACAATAGCCTACAGAGTTTTCGAGGACCACCGTCACATTCAGGAATCCTCTGCTGGGATACCCAAGTTTCCTGAGGGAGTCTGGTATCGTCAATGTTATGATGGTGCTGAGCTTCAGCATGTCCGGAGGGACCATAATTCATAAACGGACCAGTCAGGGATGAGATAACGGGCCTCGGGTTTTGGCGCGAAATTCACTCATCCATTTGTCTAAATAGAGTTTGGGCATTATAGCTGATATCAATTCGTGATGAAAGCCCTAAGTCTAATTGCTAACGTTGATCGTCAACTGTAAACCATAATTATAATTTTTCACACTGGTTTATAGCCATCATTTGGCCCTAGTTGTTAGGTAGACACTCTTAAGTTCACTCTAACGTCGCTTGAAGGTCGTCCATAACTTAGTCTCACATGAATTTTTTAGTAGATCCTAGTAGAAGTCTACGATCGTAAAGCAGAAAGCATTACGCTCAAAGCAGACAAATCGGGTGGCAGAAAAGGTCAGGATACACTAGAACTAACCTCGATGTGAAAGACTGAAGCAAAATCACGGTCAGCTATTAATTTGGGTAAGACTCGAAAAATAGTTTAGTTTTTAGAAGTAATACAGTCAACAACCATCTCTCAATCCATAGATGCTGATCTCAGGGAACAAACAGTAAAGATGACCGAAATCATGACATTATGTCACCCCAGTTTAGTTATATTTCTTTTTTTGTTTGCTTCGTATAACTAGGTTCCTAACTGGAGACATCGGTAACTCACTGATATTAGACACGGAACCTCGTTAAGTGAAAGCTTCTTCTATTCTGTCTACAACCACAGGAACGGTTGGAAAATTGGAGGGATCTTGAACAGACCAAGGTCACAGATTCACAAACACAAAACGTTGTTGTGGGTTTAGTCGTCCATTATGGGGTTTTAAACTTGATTTTATACTGAGATATGTAATGCAGGCGGAGAAATCCATCCAAACATCTTCTGATGTATAATGACCTTGGATTGAATGCATTCGCTAATCCACTACCAGATTAACGTGTTTACGTTTCTGTTTTATTTCTTGGTCCAACATATTACGACCTACCCCAGTCGCTCTAAGGAGATAGGTATGCTGTAGTGCTCATAATTATTACATACCTTAAGTTTGTACGCGTGCAGATATACGGCACCCATCAAGTTTAACAAGACTTTTGCGTTGCACTGTCATAGAAGGTGATTTGTTTGTTGTTTTCACGCGAATACCACGGGATGCAAGCCTGCCATTTCTGAGGGAAATAACTGGAAGTCTGCTTGTGTATGATGTTGAAGGACTAGATGATCTATCCAATCTATTGCCAAACCTTACTTTGATCAGAGGACAAACACTGGTGTTCGGTTATGCCGTTGTCATTAAAAGTACATCACTCAAGGTATTTAAACTTTTGTTTCCGGTTTCTTTCTGTCAAAACTCAAGAAATCTTACTGTTTGTTATTTCTATGTGTTCTGTTCCGTAACTTAAATAGCATAATTATGGGGATTTCTATTCCGAAATTCCAATCTTGACGTTTCTTCTATAGAAGGACAACACTTATTTTCTAGTTGATTTAATACGTATATACAGGCATTTTTAGCCTATTTTTTATACACCTGCCTTTGCCAAACATCTCGTACCTATAGGTTGCCGCATTTTTAAGCGTTATATATTCTTTATTTTGGTTAAATGCACGTGTTTGATATTACCCGTTTGTTCGAATAGGATTCTTCCTGCCTGTTTCTATACTTACGGTTTAAGGTTTATCCATATCGTGTCATATAAAATACTTCTTCAAGTCAATGTTGTAAAGAAACCTTATCTTGCCTATACGTCGCGTTATAAATATCACTCCTAATTTGTTCTAATGCCTTTTTCTTTTCTATTTCCTTCAAAGAATATCGGTCTTTTTTCCCTCCGAGTGATTCAGCAAGGTGGAGTACGTATAGACAGTAATCCACAACTGTGCTATGTAAGGACTATTGACTGGGATGTAATCCTTCAGGGTCAAAATGGGGACGTGTCTTCGGTTAAGATCGTTAAAAATGGAATAATGTGTCCAAATACCTGTTCATCTGGTTGCTCTGTGGCTTCACAAAGTACTGGTCGGCTTTCAGCAATAGGACTTTGGAGCCCCTTATTAAGAGATATTTCTCCTACTGATGGACATTGTTGGTCAATGAATGAGTGTCAATCGAGTAAATAACCATTGTGTTTTCTAAGTATTGTATTTTTACAGTCGTTAATTCTTTGGTGAAGTCATTTTGATACCTAAATATTAATTTTCAAATATGCTTAAAATAATTTAGTCTGAGGGGGTATATCATATTACCATTTGTGTGCCCTGTCACCACTAAAATATTTATGCTGTGTTTAATATCCACCAAACTAACAGCTGTTGAACTGAGAGTTCCGCTTATCAATATCTTGTGTTGACCATTATCTAATGGTCTAACAATTCAGCTCGAAATCATGTCATTTTTCTGTAATGGGGTTCTCATCGTATATTAATGGTGATATTGACATGGCTCAAAATCGTTTGCAATGGCGAAGGTGTTCTCCCAAATTCTAATCTTCTGAATTCCTCATATCCCTATCCTTTTTTCTCTTTCCAAATTTATTTCACCGTATTATACTCCTTCAATAACATCTTCAAACCCTTATCTTTCACACAATACTTATACTCTTCTACTTCTACCAATATGGGATTTGAATCGACAACTTCATCTCTGTGCTAATGTGGTATGGCAACTCGAACTGATGTACGTACGTACGAAGTTCTACGTTGTAAGTGACTGACTGACTGATATTTTAATAACTTTAAGGCGTCCACCCTTGTTTTCGTAAGAAATCTTGTATCTGGCCCTTACCCCAGTTATTATTCCCATTGTTTAACAACCTGTATTTGTATGTCTTGAAGGTGGATTCTCAACATGCGGATTCATTCCAAAACACCTACTTTTGTGACTCAGACATGTCTGGATATATCCAAGTAGTCATCATTTCAGTTTCTTCACTACCACTAGTACTGGTTGAAAAAATAAATAAATCTTTCGTTATGTTATATAACTTCAAATAAAAACAATATTTACACCGTATAATAAGGTTCTACTCATGTTGGCTCTCGGGACGGGATCATGGAGATAGTGCTAGTGGATTAACTTCATGTGTAATTAGGTATGGACCAGTTTCAAACTAATGACTTAACAACCTTGTTTTCTTTTTGTATTTTGCCTGATTACTTAAAAACAGTAACAATAACTCCTTGGACAAGTTTTGTCTAAGTAGTTTTCCGTTAATAAATAATTTTTTTCTTGTATCTTCGTGTCTACTTTTCAGAACTGCTTTGTATGGTTCATATCTTAATGTTCTTGCTTAAATAAGTTTACGGTCGAATAAAACTGACACAATTATACAAGATGCTACATCTATCCTTAGGAATGCTCAGGCTAGGTCATATAGACCGTGCCGCTTGGAAAAATTTCGGTATTCCGAGTCCTTGATATTTCCTCTTTAAATAGTCTGGTATTTACTGTTAAAGTGACACAGGATATTGTGATTGGTTTTTGTTTCAGTAATCAAGGTGGACTACCTCGTGATATATTTTATATTGACTTTCAGAATTTATCAAATTTACAACCTATCTCCCTAATATTAAGGTTATTTATTTAGAACTGCCCCCAAATGCCCTGGTACGGCCGAGAGGGGAGAGTCCACTCTCCCTCTCGAAATGCTCTCATATGGCCAGCGAATATATAGCCTCTGACAGGGAAGTCCTACTCACTGCCTTCTCGTGGCGGGGGTGTTTACGAAATTGAGAGGACGAGAAGCGAATGTCTGGCGCTTTAACCGGGTTGGTTGACATGGAGGGTCCACCTAGGGGAGTTGGAAAACCCTGATTCCAAACCAATGGTGCACATGGGCTCCAGTATCCTGAGGGAACAAATGGCGTACGAATCAATCGTTGGTCACCGGCTACCATGGGACTGCATCTCCTCACGATGATCCACTACCTTGTGGATCAGATCTTTAGGTCAAAGGCTCCGGGTGTGGGCCCCTAAGAAAACCACCTGCTTCAGTCTGGGCACCTGGGCAGTATCACAGCCCTCAAGCAAATCGAATGAGATTTGTGAGGCGCATATTTATCTGGTGCTTCCTTGTACCAAGATTTATGTGTTTAAATAAAAAATAAATTTGTAGAACTGGCGTAGATGCAGCAAAAAAGGTTCCATAGTTGTCAGATTGTGTTGATATTTTCATTACAACTGCATCGAATGTTTTCTTCATTCTCGATTCAAGAATCGTAAGGAGCGCCTTTTATCCATCTGAAAAGAGATGGTGCGAATATTAAAAAAAATCCTCGCGGAAAAATATTTTAACTAGCTTCAGAACGAAATAATAAAAGTAGGAAACTACAAATTATTTTGACAAGATAGATCATCGCACAAGTTACTTAACATTCGTTCAGTTTTATTAGTATATTGATACGATCGCATAAAATCTAACATTTCTTTAAGTTGTATCGAGTTGTGTCTAAGTGTTTCAAGACGAAAACAACCGTTTTAGTTTACAACTAACCAGGTCAGTGATTCACAGATATAAGCTGCTAAGTTATTGTATGAATGAAAATGGTAATGGTTTGCAAAAAACTTGATCTTTTCGTTTCAACTGTTGTTTAACGTACGGTATTGGAAATGTTCTAACTGTTGAATTATCTACCCTCGACCCGTATCATTAAAATGGCATCTATTTCTGTTTTACTGCTCGATGTGTAACAAAAATAAAATGTATGGTTTTATTGATCAAGTTTTTGACTGGTTATAATCCCATATTCTTACTTGTTTCCTAGTATGCCCTTTAAACTGCACACTTCTTAATTTGACTTGTACAATGAAACGTCCTCATAAATGCTGTCATCCAGAATGTCTTGCTGGATGTTACGGTGACGGCCCAAGTATGTGCGTTGCGTGTAAGAACGTTATGCACGAAAACCGATGCGTCTCACAATGTCCAGGCGGAACTTTCAAGGTAGGTTCTCACCCAGTTTTAAATCTCATATGACCTTTTAATTACTTCCAGATGATCTTTTGTTGATAACCGAGTTCACTTAGTTTCAAGTGATTACTAATTATGCTATTTTACTTGATTTTTTTATTGAGTGGGTTGAACTGCTTAAACTTGCTTCATTTTCAAAATAATATATGTGTTCAGTGTACATCAATTAAGTCTAGATTAAATATAGTGGTCCAAAATGTGTCAATTACTCATTGAGTTGAATTAATTCTGTTTTATATTAGTTATTGAGTCTCTTTTATCAGCCGGCATACAAAAACGATTCATTCTAATTTTTCTAACTAGTATGTACACCGAACATTTATATACTTTCAGCTGCCTCTCAATTTGCACGTTAATATAATGTTTTAGTTTCATATATTGTGTAACTGGCGAATAAATAAAGCATGCCCCCATCTGGCCATTTAGTAATCCACGTTGGGAGTGAGTTCCGCTGTTACTCTAAAAGTTGATCATAATGTCACTAGAAAACTGTAGTTAAAAAAATTATCCTGATATACTGGTAAAAAAAATCAAACTCCTCTTCTCTATATCCGAAAGTTCATGAGTTTGATTTCAGTAGTATTTGTAGTTTCGATCTTATTATTTCATTTGCTTCTTTTGTCTTTCTTATATATAGTCTGCTAAGACTATCGGCATTATTATGCTTTTTACTTCACTGTCTTTTGATGTTGTTTTGCTCTTATTATGTTGATGTAATTCGTGGTTACATGGGTAGATAAACACATATATTAGGTAATTCGTTCCCTAATTTTCACTGTTTCTAAATTGTTTCAGGACTAAATGCTAGAGTTTCCACAGAAGCAGCACAGTCGAACCCATATGAAGTTATGAAACCTCTTCGAATAGGAGATCTTGAGCTTTAAGGCGTCGTCGCACAACTAACTGTTGTGGAATGAAATAAATGCAGCGACGTAATCAAACCACCATAGATTGGTATGTGTTAGGAATACCGTTGTAGAGCCAATTTGTATCTCCTCTTGCTTTCGTTGTTGGTTGCGTTGAAGTGTTACCATGCACGTTTACTTGTTGTTCCTTAAGCATTGAGTTAGCTCGCATATAGTACTCCCTTTACCGTTTAGTGTCTAACCTTTCCGACATCATAGGTACGGGATCGGCGATAATATTAAAGGTTTTGTATCTATCGTACTAATTGGAAAAGTTTCTCCATTACTTCCAACTTCACCTCTCTGGGTTGATGTAGACTTACACTCGTGTTTCAGAGCGGAACAGATGAAATACCTACCTTTGCCTTTTTTGTTTAATGTTGTCTAATTGTAAAAAAACTTGTGATAGAATCTCACCATTTCTGAGGAATTTTCAGTTCATTAATCTTCTGAAAAGTAGAACTAAATGTTTACATGTTTAAAACTATTTTGTTTTTTGCATTCTGATTTCTCGTTTGCGCTCATTTGTCGTCAATTACGTTCCGTTAGAATCTTTTATCATTTCTACTTGCAGTATCTTAATCGAAGATGCGTCACAGAATATCAGTGCTTAACTCAATTGCTCAATTTAACTTATGCTGATTCACCAAATATGTCAGATCATCACGCGAATAGTTTTTCAAATCATTCATTTCCACGGGATATCATGGCTAAAATAGACTCGGATTTCACTATTTTCAATGGATCTTGCCTTTTAAATTGTCCTGTGGGTTATAAGAAGTCATCTAAAACCGGTCATTGTTACCCATGTGGAGATCAGTGTGAACTTAAACGTGAGATTATCAGTTTTACTTTACAATACTAATTACCGTCATCACAATGAACAATTTTTGACCTTAACCACGTATAACAATAATTTTCAAGGATGTGAGACTTTCTGTTGATTGAATGTACCAACATGTTATTAATTGAAAATTTACAGTTTTGGTTTATAAGAATAATGATACTAATCATAATAATAATCATTGAACCACTTTCTTTACGAAATGACATGGACTGTCACCTTATTTAAACAAAATGATCCTATTCTTAATGTATTCACGATATATTGGTACAAAATAAACTCATTTAGCGGGTACTTGTATATGGGCCACACTCCAAGCGCTAGCACCTATGTTACTACCTGGTTTCCCAAACGGAAGTAGATGGAGCGGGGTTCAAACCTGAGACTTGGGCGATGAAAGCTGATCGCCTAAAATTCTGATTTGCCATTACACGAAATTGATGCTCGCCTGCCGAAACCGGGGATCAGATTTGAGACGTTTAGATCGTCAGTGTAACGTCCTGTCAACTGAGCTGGTCCGGCGTTTTTGTATTAATAACATAAAAAGTCTAGACTTTACGTTGATTTTGACTCTATCTAATCGAGTAAATTACATTTTGTTTTGCCAACATGTTCATGATAATTTATAGTTTTTCGCTGCATATATTGCATTGTAGTTAATTGAAACTTTTTTTCATTTTCTGCGTAAATACCTGTTTTATCTAACCTAATTCTTATCATAGTCCAGTCACAGTTATAATCTTTCTTTTAGTGATTTTTTAGATAGAAAAATTCATTCAAATATTTATGAAAATAGTCGTTTAATTCCATTTGATCATCAATCAACAACTGTATATTTCTAACTGTGCTTTACCAAATCATTATAATCACATGCCTTTTTTTAAACCGGCATCTTTGTGTATTTTCCATAGGGATATTTCGTTTGTTTAATTTTATTTAAACAATGAAGATTAATTGTTCTATTCGTTATTAAATTGTTAGAAAATTATTAAGAATTGCAATTTGATTATTGTTAATATTTGGAATTGCTTTTATAGATTGTCGTGAATTTTTAATACATAGTTTGAAAGTACTTGATACTCTGGCTGGTTGTTATTCGGCTAAAGCTATTTACCTTAGTATTCAAGAAGGTCAACCTGGTAAGTGATGTAAAAGCTATTGTTTTGTTTGATACAAATAGATTTAATTTTCATTACGGGATGAATAATATATCCAGCTGTTGCACACTTATAAGGAATGATGTTTAGTGACATTCGGGTTAGTTCATATAATTTAAATATTATTTTGTCCAATAAAGACGAAAACAAGGGGGGGGGTTGAAAACACGTAATTTTAGGAAATTTAGGGTATTTCGATCTTATTCTAATTTCAAATACTTCCCATTTATGGTGTTGCACTTGTTCTATCTTTGTTTCCACTGTTTGAAACGTCACTGGGAATTGTAAATAATTAGGCTCTTTATCTGCCTCATTTCATTATTTGCTTGTGTCGTGTGCATATATTTTTTCTCAAATTCAGCTTACCAATGATCATGCGGACATTAAATCCCCAATCAAAAGTCATAATAGGCCGTACGCGTTTGATGTTTTAATTAACATAGGCAGGGTACGGTTGTTTTGGCTGCATATCACCCTTGGAGTCTTTACGCCTTGCATTAAAACATTTGGCCCAATTAAAATGAGTTTTTTCATTTTACCAATTTCATTGGTTCTCCGAAATCTCACCGAAAACAGTTGCACAGTTCACGTACTTATTAGGCAGTAGAATTTTTAATTGAAAGATCAGTGTCACCATACACAGATAAATTGGTTATCTTTACTTGATCTATCTTATCGACTATCTATCCATACAGTTGTTGCTTTGCCTCATCCTATTCTGGCTATTATCGCTGTTTAGGATATCTTTAATATAGTTTACTGCTTTATGGCTATGCTGGTGATTACTAAATTGCATAATATCGAAATATCAAGTGATTACAAGTTATTGTGTAACCTAGTTAAAATTCGTTGTAATCAAAGACAGTAACTACCAATGTCTGTAAACACGTTCAAATCTTTCAGCTGCTGAATTACTTTTTAAAATATAGAGCTTGTGTTGTGTGGAAATGTATGTCTTCAAATACAGCATCAAAATAATTTATTTCACTTGTATTCGAGCATAAAAAAGTAACTACGAAGTTATAACCTGGAAACCATACTACACATTATTAGATTCGCAAATATTTATCCTAAAATATCAGTAACCGTATTATATTTGAAAGATTGAAACGCTAGTATATAAGATATAATACTGTTAGCATGTTTCTGATGATATATGGTGTTCTTCAATAAAAAGAGATTTATATCCGTCATCAAGGCTTTGTTCGTGTTTTCATACAATGCGTCAGTAGAGTTACTATTTTCATGTTAGTAAATAAACTTGGTGTGGACTAAGGTGAAAAGGCTCTTCTTAATTCTTGTAATATAATATTGAGTATGTGTGGTTTTATGTTAAGTAGAGGCGAGTTTAGATTGAGTAGTTATATTTGAAGTGACGAATTAACAACAAATACTCATCGTTTATCCCAGAGAAGGAGAATAATGTACAGTAGAGTTTGCTTGTTCGAATGTTATTTACCCTAAATTTTACAAGGGGGAAGTACTTCCAATCAATCAATAATCGCACAATAACACTGCATACATGTTACGGTATTTAATATTACAGTGTAGTATCTTTTTTTCGGTATTTACAGAAATTGTGGCTCTTTTATTGGACAGGGCATTTGCAAATCTAAGAGTGATACATCATAGTCTGCGTATAGTACGCTCTTCTGTTCTTAATAATCTAAATTTTCTACGACACGTTCGTTCTATTGGTCAAATAGGGGGAAATATTTCCAATCACCCGTAAGTTGTGCTCACATATTTGCTTATGTTTGCTTTATTTCTTGGTGTTAAACCTAACAGGCAGTAGTCCATTTTTCGATATAAACGTGGAGAATATATGAAAAAAGTTAATGGCAAAAGATTTTTAGCTTCACGTGTCAACTGAAAACCTCGTAACGAAAACTCTCAATGATATCTCATTTTAATAAGTGGAGATGATTTCATAGAATTAAAATTTTTCGTCACAATCGTTAATTCAGTAAAAGCATTATTACTATTTGTGATTTTAATCGTGAATGATTGAAAGTTAAGTAAGATAAGTACAAGCGAAGCTGTCTGTTGTTGTATCCATGAAAATCGATTTCAACAGTAACAGTATGTCTGAAGGGAACTCATTAAAATTGTTATTGTAATATATATTTATGCTTCATATAAAAATGAGTAGTGTTTGAACATCAGGCATCAGGTTCAAATTCATTTCCACATATTTCGGTCCGAACAGGGAGTCAGTAACAGAAAAGTGGTGTGTCCGACATCTGAATACATAAAATCTGTATTTGGTAAGTCAGTGGCATTGTATTTTTAGAAATTATCATACAGCTGATGTATTGGCTATGGTTAATATATAAGAATATAATCTTTTATGAAACTGTAAACATGATCTATGTATAAAAAACATATAAGTGGTTGGCTGACTGTCTCAAAAGTTATGGTCAGGTTTAGGTTGTCATTATTTTGAATGAATCAGAGAAAGAGAATTTTTGAGATAAATATGAGAAGGTATGAAGAATAATGTATCATTTTTACTTCCAAGCCTTAGAGTCCATAATCAATCTATATGAAAACACTGTTATTCAGTTGTCGTTCATAATACTATTGATAAACGGGTTTAATATTGCCTTTATATAAAACCAATATTTATGTGTTAATTCTTATTTAGTTGTTTAAAACTTTATTTATTCACTCATAGAATCGTTTTTGAGTTATTTGGAAATGACAATTTACGTGATCTTTGGTCTTTAACAAACGATGCTAATAATAATGATGATGGTCTACAAATTTTATCCAATGGTTTAATCCGTTTCACTCAGAATCGGCAATTGTGTCCTGAGAAGATTTTTGAACTGTTCGACTCTAATAAAATCAAATTAGAGGGAAATAATATCACACTTACACAAGCCGAACGTGAAATGATAACAATTACAAATGGAGATTTAGCTTACTGTAGGTTTAAATATGTAATGTAATTTAATTAGCTGATACCTTTAACACGTTCTCACATTCCTTTTCTTTCGAAACTTTTTTAAATAACTACTTTTCTAATACAGCTTTTTAAACAACTAGGTAGGCGTTTGGTCAGATATTTCATAACGTCGATATATATAGACTGTTGTTTTACTTGTAATTTATTGATATATCGTCATTTGTAGTAAATTTAAACTCAATGGAAAATGAATATTCCCAAACGAAGGTATTTTGAAAGTGAACTTTCACAGAATAAAAAATGTATTACGTTATTTTATCAACAATTTACTAGTGTTGATGAGAACATATTATTACGTGCTCGTGGACACTCAACAAACCATTCACAATTTCTAATCCATTCATCTTACTAAGATCCAGGTAATATGTTAGTGTTGTTGCCACTATGAAAACTAGTTATAAAACCTCACATCATATAAAAGACAGTATGCGTAATGATCAACTAGTTCACTGAAATGTTTGGACACTGTAAGGTACAAATTTACTTTTGTGATGGTTTTCGCCAAAGACAAGATTCTCTCCTCCAATTCCACTGATGCTGTGTTATTAAATATCTATCTGCCGCCCTCAGACAAAATTATTAACAAGAACATAAATTCTTGAGGTAATGACTGAGAGCCTAACTCATTTTTAAAGGATGAACCTTGTGGATATCATTGTGTAACATTCATTCTAGATTATCTTTTGATATTCAAGCACTAAGCTTGCATTTCAAGGGATCAAAGTTTTTTTTTGTTATTATTTTTTACCTAATTATTCCACAAAAACTATTTGGAAGTAATTGCGGCCAACTTTTTGTAGTCATCATAGATACTTTGCCTTCATTATCCCTGTTTCGCAACAGTATAGAAAAATATGTTGATCTAAAACTGATCAATTTAGGTTCTAAACGTCAGTGGGAAGATTAAAACAACCAATAAGTGATTAATTACGTTAATTTGTGTTGTGTATTTCGTCATGATATTTCCACAGTGAAATATATTGGCTTCTGTTAAGTCGGCTTACAGTAAACTCTATCAGAGCCTCCAGAGGCTCATAAAAAGCCTCAACCAATCAGCGATTAGTTAGAAGCTATGCTACTAAAATAACGAGGTCCTGATTGGCTGTTTAACACACTGCTACTACGGAAACTCAAGGTCTCTTAATTACTATAAAACCCCTGTTTTTCTGTACATAAAAGAATCCTGTAGTAAAGCGCTTCCCACACACTTTGTGCCTTTTCTCTGGTCTTCAAGTCGGTGTATAGTTCTAGATCGGGGACACGGAACTACCTTAGGGAAGCAAATATAGCGTGCACAATCGGCCAGACGTAACACTTCAAACCTCAGTATGATGAAGGAAATGTTCAGTTATACGAAAATTTTAGTAGCTATAACAGCTTTTCTTTAAGTACAAACTCAGCTAACCCCGAAACATTCTGTTTATATAAGAGAAATTTGGAAAATTTATATGGTATGATTACCTTAAACTGTTAAAAATCAATTTGCTCACCTATTAATTCTACTTTTTAATTATGATTATACACTTAGGTAATTGGCGTAAATTCGACATAAAACTTAGTGGTCTTAGTTCACATAGTGTTCGTGTTATATGGCCCTATCCGTCTACCATCCAGTTTGCGGATACATCTATGAATGCTAACTTTTCACATGGTTTAAATTCTAGCTATGTGGATGAACTTGTTTTAATGTATCTTTTCTATCAGCCAGCGTGAGTTAAAAACCTCAGTCATTGATTCTTTTATTTTTTTGAAGCTGAGTAATATTTCCATGTAAAGTAATTCCAAATGGCTTAACAGGAAAGACTATCTCATCAGTTTTCATTGGTGCTACACTCTCGGTATGATGAAATATTTAAATTGTTTGCTATTCGCTGAATATTTTAATCGGGATTAGATATCCGAAATATCAAGTTTTTATTGTTTTTTGTTATATAAGCGTTCAGTTTAATAATGAAGTTTTTATAAGTTTAGATCAAAATAATCACATCTACTTACATAAAACTCTGCTAATCTACATATTTTTCAATGAAGAAAAGACTATACGCTTTCTGTTGCTAATCATCATACATACATACATACATACATACATACATTTTATTCATTGAATTACTAGATAACTTGGCTTTTCATTTTTAGCCCTAAAGATATTCCAAATATTGTCAAAGACCGAAGAGCCTACGATAAGAATTCGTAAGTTGTTTGTTTTTATTCCAAAATTCTTTTTAGTAAGTGTCAATTATTTCCACGTATACTGCATGTGCCTGCCTTTTTGTGATTAAAATATTATTTTTTAGAATAGTTAGTAAGTGATTACTAAATAGCTCAAGTAACCTTTTCAAAGTACATTATTCTATCACAATAAATATATCAAATTTCTCGACAGGTATGGTAAACTTTTACATAAGCTTTCTGTATGTTATGCCCATAGGGTATACGATTATCGCGAAATATGATTGCCAATTTAGATACGCTGACTTATACGACCCAACTAATGATCCATACACCAGTACGGGCGGCCTAGAGTTTCGACTGGTCCTTTTTCCTCTTAGCCCTGCCTGTTAAGTCCATAACTCCAATCTCAGCCTCCACCATACGAGTCCTATATTTCAAACACACTTGATTTATATACAAGCAAAATCAGACCACATCACAGCATGAAACAGAAAGTAACATTTGTACAAGATCAAGCCAAAAGTGACTGCGATTGCGAGAAACTGTTACTGATAAATTGGGAATATCTCAAGAATAGTAAATCGTATGATATTAGTTAATAGGTTAAATAAAAGCTTATAATGAAGGGAATATGAATTTACATGTAATATAGTTACTCAACAGTCATACGATGAGAATATTCGTGTAATATTAGTCCACAAGTAATTCCTAACGCTTACCATTCATTTATTCTCTTCCGGATATAACATTGTGTATATTAACATAAAATGTACACTAGATTGATGAAAGTTAGATTAAAAACTATACTAATCATGACTTTTTTTTACAGATGGCGTATGTTAACAGCATCATGTGATTCGAATCCTGGAGACAATATTCCAGAACTTCCTCATTTAGAATTATATTGTGGATTAACTTTATTTAAATTGGAATCTGCTACGCGTTATGTTGTCTACGTGGAGATGAAATTCCCTCTGAAACGAACTGGCGCTGTTAGTAATTTGGTTTACTTCACAACATTATCGATCAGTAAGTTAGGGCATATATCACTTTCTTAAACATATACATGTACGTTTGTGTATATACTCTTAACAGGTATCTAAAAATTTAATTTTGAAATAAACGCTTTTCATGTAGAAGATGGGTCAGAGAGTTACCAGAAAATCGGGTATCCGTAGTTCATGAATCACACATTTGAACTTTTTATTATTCTTAGTTTCGATTCTAGAACTCTTAATCCTTATGATTTTCATGTTACTCTTCAGGTATCGAATTGAAATTCTGTAATCTTTACTCTCAGTCTCATGAATAAGTTTGTATTGGGGCTTGTATAAACCTATATTCAGACTATCATATCCAATCGAATTCTGATAATGCAAAACTTTCGTTCATATTCACGCTTTGTTGGTGCTGTAATGTTGTTGTGCCTAAACGAAGAAAATCTCTGAGTCTTATGGGTTTATAATTTTTCTGATACTTACATACTAATGAAATTTTAATGAGTCTGATCTTATGTATTTCTTAACTTGACTGTCAACCCAATTCAAAATATGTTCACTTATCTAGTCAAGTATACTGTAACCAAATATAATTACTTGAATCTAACCCATGGGATGCATCATATTTCATAAGTCAATTATTAATTCTGATAGTAGTAAGCTATGTTTAAAATTAGGTTCATGATCATGCTTGTTCACCAAACATACTGTACATACCCTTGTACTAATCTTTTTAAAACAATCTGTTTTTGACTAACCAAATGGGTTATCGTTTGGTCATTTTGTTCATTATCTATTTCTTGTGATTCGTGCGAGATATAAATACGCTGACCAGAAACAACATACCTTCGTTTTGTAAGACATCACCAATTTCGAAAATGCCGCGACTAGTCATTCATTGTGAAGTTTATTGAATATTTTCATGTTCATCAAGCACGTTATACATAATGTATAGTTTCACTATAAGTTCATGATGATTGAAGTTGTAGTTTGACATTGTGTGAAAGCTAGATATATTTTAATGTAGACTGTCCTGCGAGACTCCATGGAGTTAGCGATGTTTATTTTAAGCGTAGTTTTCGTGGTAAAGATTACATTTTAAACTATATGATTAAATTTCAAAATTGCATCATTTGTGCTAATCGTGATATATAGTGTTCCAAAACGTCCCCTATCCACTCAAAATCTTATCGTTATGGTTCGTGTTATTGTAAAAAAAGCTTCACAGTACCAGGAATATGAAATCAAATCAATGCTTTCAGTTACTCATTAAGAAGGGACGTTCTTAATGTTGTATTAGTTACGATGTCTTTAATGGTAATTTGATGTTATTAAGGCGTGCATATAATTTGTCTCAAATCTTAAATATGATTGTTATTGAAAAGTTGTACATCATAATATTTCATTCTGCTTGTTTATCCGACCAAATAGCAGACAAGCAGGCAGTTTTTTAGAGGTGTGTGAATTTGAAACACAATTGATTTGTCAAGGTTGTGTACTTGAGCTAACTACTAATGTCTGCTACTGATATATGGCTGTTTTCTATGACTGCGAAATACTTTTACTTACTACTTATTGTGACAGAACGAGATTACTTAGCCAACGTAATAAAGAAAATAAAGCTGTACAAGCAGACTGACTAGTTTGTTCAGCAACCTCGAATTACGCCACGACATCGGAAACGGTAATCATAATACATTACACATCATTTTAAATGTTTGATTGATCAGTAATTTTGAATGAACTAAACTAGTAGTTATTCAATAGTCTATTGAATATCTGTGTGTAGAATTTCCAATATCAATAAACATATTTGTTAGATTACGAACACACCACAAAACTCGATAATCATACAATTTTTAACATGAGACTTACATCGAACTTGCCAGAGGGATGCGTTATCACCTTATTTATTAAAGTTATTGTCTATATATATTTACAGATCCATCTCCTCCCCAGTATCCGTGGTTGGAACCTGTCAATAAAAATTCACTTCGTTTAACGTGGATGCCACCGGCGAAACCAAGTGGGATCATTGATACTTATTTGATATGGATTCGTATTCTTGAAGATAATCCATCTAATTATTTGACACAGGATTTCTGTATACACAGTGAGTATATATGTATATCTATAAACAATAATCCACCGTACATACTCTTGTCCTATTATCGAGAATTTTGCTATCTGTCTTGTTCAATTTAGTTGCATCAGTCAACTTTAGACTTGCTTTTTTATCATAGTCTAAATTTAAATCGCATTGATAATCATTATTCTTTCCATATTTAATTGTTCGTTTTAGAACCTAACTGGATCCACTCGGGTTGGGATACAAATTTACCAATCAGGCACACAGATCATATTAATTTTGAAAGGGGTTACTGTGATTCTTGTTTATCTTGTCCTAACTTGCATGAAATTGAACAACTTTCAAAGTTAGTGTGTTACGTTCTTTCTTCTGCTTGATCAAATATAAAAGAAGTGTTTGATTTTCATATTTGCTGATTTATTTAGTCTGTTTTTCTGAATACATATAAAAGTAACAGAAAATTAATTGTCACAACTTTCTTGTTCTTTGAGCTTTGATAGAGTGATTATGATTATTTTATCACAAAGTTTAATAATTTAACATCAAACTAAGTGTTCTAGCCATGAGAAATATCTAACATGCGAAAATGTATCTGTCCATTATATGTATTTTATTGGTTTATAATCTGTTGATACTTTATAAATCTCTGTTCAGCATTGTTCGCACTCATTGTATTCGTTATTAAACTCTCAGTAAAATAGCGTTGTCTTTCGTACATTGATATTTGTTTATTATATCATGGAATTTCTTAATTTATTGGAAACACTTAATAATGTTTTGTCTAATACAGGACATTCATATATTTATGTCTCATAAACTAAATTGCTAATTTCCAGTTTTTGAGACATTGACTCATTCGACAAGATATTCGGAATAATAATGGAAGGTTTCTTTTCTAAACCGATAGTGTGCCTTTTTAGTGAATATATTTGGTTGAATGCATGTCGTATAAAAGGGTTCTAGGATTAAGATAAATTTCGTTTCAGTGCAATGATTTTCATTATGTTTCAGTATATCTGTCAGTCTATATACAGTCATTTATAAATCCCAAGGATAGTTTTGCTTCTGTGACACGGTCTTTAAACTTCAGGAGCCCATCGAGTGCCTTCGATGCATTGGGATCCCAATGTATTTTTAAAATACTAAAACATATATTGTAACCTAAAACAGCACATAACTAAACAGTATTATTTTCAATTAGATTCTCATCAGGCTTTTCTCTAATATGCAGTAATATTTATCGTCGTTTTGTGTAATCTCTTCATTAGGCTCTACACTTGTAAATCAACAATTATTGTTACTTTACGATGTACAAAATATTAGTGGGATTAATGTGTGTTACAAATCGAAAACCGCTAGTTTTACGCCCATCGAGTTATAAATACTACAACATACTAAACCTCACCATGCGCTCCGTATGTAGGATTGAAATAACCTATAGATGAGTTACTGAATTTGTTTCTAGGCTGTTGAGCATAGTCTTAGCATGGTCAAAGTCAAGACAGTAGTTAGCATGTATGTATATATGTCTTGTTTATTGTAATATTTTTAGTATACAGACAATTTCATCTTCAAACGAAAATTATTGGCCTTCGTCTGTGAGCAGATGGATGACAGATGATTCTGGGAACCTTTTGCCAGTAAATATTGGTAATGCTTTCGTGTATATGCTGTAAACATTATATACTTAGGGATTTTAAATTTAGTTTTCACACGTGTTTCTAAAGATGTTTTTTAGGTGTTATCACTATGTTATAGAGGTTTTTTTATGAATTATGAGCGGAACTTTTAGGTTGGTAAAATCAATGAATTATGTGCTGGTCGATAGATAAACAAAATGATATAGTGTATCCGAATCATGGCTACTCATTAGGCCGTATTATTTGCCCAGACCCCAAATGATTTGACATATAAACCAAGACCACCATAGATATAGGTTTTTATCAAGGTTGGTATTACCAAACATGACACCAGTCCAAATAATAACTAATTATCCAAAACATACATGAAAATTGCCTTTTTGGAGTACTCATGATTAATCGTGATCAGTAACTGTAAACGTTGAGTGATGTGACTTAAAATCAATGACGGAGAAGATACATTCACATCTTCTAAAATGTGAGTCCCAATATCCCTCCATACATAACTTTTCATTCCTTCTGAAATCCTATTCTTTATGTTTAGTACTTCTCAATATCAATAATATTACAATTGTTTCGACGTTTTTGTTGTTTTATCTTGTTAATTTCATTACGTTGTGTTGATGTGTGATAATTTCAGTTAACAGATATTTATTATGACTGACTACTGACCTCTGTAATTGCTTAATTTTATTCAAGTTCCCTTAAATATATACCGTCCAGTTTCAGTTATTCAATTGAACAATCTAATGCAAAATGTTTGATAATGTAGAGTATAAAGAGAAATACCATTTGGTCATCGTGTCACCTACAAATCTTGTATGACCACACATTAAAATGATAATTAGTTGACGTACAAAATGTACCCCATATTCTTATATCTTTTTTAACATAACTGTCAATAATTTGGATAGTCAAGCGCAATCGTTCATACGCCGATATTAAACTTTTGTCCTATAAACCAGCTTACTCCTTCATTTAGTTCCTGTTTAACTCAGGTATTGTTCTACAACTCAACTTTCATTCTGATGGTATTTATTCGTCATGGGTTAGCGTTAATTCCTATGTTTCCAAAAATAATCACGCATATGAAATCGGTTCATTTTCTTACTTTTCAATCGTGTTTTAAGTTTTATTCACCTTAAATTATTTTATCTGTTCGTTAACTTTTCTTTTTTATCTTTTATAGTGGATGAAAATTTTTCACTCAAATCCGGTACAGTAGGTCTCATTGTACAAAAGAACATTTCAACTTATTTCAAAGATATTTCATATTTCCAAACGAATCCTCAGAAAACTTGTATTCAGTCAGTTAATGAGAACGTAAAATATTTAACAGGATTGTCACCATTTACAAGAGTGCTTGTTGAAATACAAGCTTGTTTAGTAAGTTAAAAATTGGTCATTGTTTAAATCTTTTCTATCTCTTCGTTTATTCTCTTTAAACAGAAACTTTTGATGCGTTCTACGTTTTCTTTAAAATAAATGTATATTATCCTTGTTAATTAGTAACAAAATATGGTGAGATAAAAAAAATACTGATTTTAGTCTATCATTTTGCTTGGTCTTTATAAAGTTATTTTATCCATTCGAATGTTCGATTGGTGGTTACAATTAAAACAAGCGAATAACGACTCTGGGATTCATGCACATCCAGCTGACTAGTCTCAAATAGGACAAAACGCGCGCTCTGAATTACACTCCTAGCCACATTTCATCTATTCTGCATAAGTAAACAATAGTTTTAATTTTTAATTGCAACAAGTTTCCATTTATAGTGTGCATTTACAAATTTCTACTAATAACTTTTTAAATAGTATGGTGTGTTTCATTTGTCTTCACTTTTTGATACTTTAGGAGTACGATTCAATTTCTCATGAAAAATCATTAAAAGCAAAATGTAACTATCCACCACCTTGGTTTAATAAGAAATCTGGAATTATTGTTCATCTTGATCAACTTCAACATCAATGGGCAGCCTGTGAGTATGAACTATGCAGTCCAAGATCTACCGTAATAAATCGTATAAATCCTCATGGTACGTTTGTTCGATCACTCTTTCATAGTATATTTCTTATGAATTTCCCTCTGTTTATGATAACTGATTCATTTACTTCTCTGTATTGTAAGTGCATCTGACTCTAATAGCATATGATCCCTGTATTTCGTAGACTGATCCCTTTATATAACAAATTCTGATAACAGTAGTATATTATGTTGTATACAAGATGTGTTTAAAAGAGATTTATTCCGAATCAATTAATTCAACATATCACATGTATCTAAAGTACAAAGATTGTAGGAAGTTTAAAGTTATGTTGTGTGACTTTATGTAGTGATCAGTCGTTACGTGCTGTGTGTGTTCATTTGCCACTCAACGATGTAGCTAGTGGATTGATGTGAAAGTTAATTGTAGTGTACCTTATTGAGTTAGTTTTCGTAGTTCAAATAGATAATTGATAAGTCGGACATATACGGACAGCCACATATATATAGAAAATGTACATGAATAGAATCTCATAATTATTTGTTGAATAAGTACAAAGTAATTTATAGTATTAAAATGATACATTTAATAGTCACGCCAGTGTTTGTTCTCACAGTGATAAATCATACAAGGCTTCCACAAGCCTCGTATGCAGACTCATCACGGCAAGGCTATAGGTGAGTAACACGGAGCTTTTAAAGAATATATTAGTCCTGGAGCTAAATAAATGCCGTTGTAAATAGATTTTGTTCAGTCGTAGAAAAAAAACAGTTAATCAGATCGTGAAAATAAGTCAACTACGATTAAAGTTACAACATAATAAAATTACTAATTAATCACTAAGACTATTTTATTGTTTTTTGGTTTTTTCCCTATTTCCAGTTGAATCTGATAACATTCCTGTATCTTCAATTTATGCATCCTCTAATGGTCCGGGTAGTATACGTATTACATGGTCTAGTCCTATTAAACCGAATGGTTTAATTATACATTATATATTGCGTTATAGACCAAGAAATCATGACAATCACACAGACAATTATTCATTTTCAGACTTGGTAAATTTACCAGTAGATATTTAAAATAAGATCACTCTTTTTATCCAATCGTAATATCTCCTTTTTTCAAAATAATAAATTATAGATTGTGATAGATTTACATTGCAGGTAAAATTATCTGTGAAGTTGTCAATGAATAGACATTAATTAGGAATAATATATTTGTAAAATCTCAGCGAATGAATTTGTAGTAAATCCAAAAATTTCGCCTGGCAATCTGGTCCAAGCTTTTTCAAGGAATTATAATCAAACATCAAAATTATCGAATATAAATAGGTACATGGTTCCTCGTTTCATTGTACACTGAATAGGTCATCCAATGAACGTTAAAAATGTCTAGACTGGGTATATGTATTAGCGTGTAAGAGATTTGTGATGTGAAATGATAAGTGTTAATATAACATATTGTATAAAAACGTGAGTGGTGAGAGGAGAAAATTCATTCATTTTACAAATATACTATTCCTAATTAAAGTCTTACATCAACTCGGCGCTCAAATACTGTGAAACTATTCGCTCTAATTTAGACGAAAGTTCTTTTATATTGTCAATGAATATTTTATAGTAATAAACTCTGAAGTATTTTATTCTTCCAAACGTTTGCCAAAAATAAAAAAATATATTCAACATTTTCCAAGAAAAGTAAAACGATTAAACTCAAAATGATGGAAATGAAATTTTTATTCAAGTGATCATGTAAATAATGGTTCACGGGATTTTGAATTGATTATTTTACATTCTAGTGTTAATGTTGTGAGATACAATCACAAAGTAAATTTCAATAAAGTGATCACTTGCTTTGATACCGAATTGTATTTTATACAAATGAGTTCGTAGCTTTTCTGCTAAGTAAAATCACCAATTGGCCGATTACCTTGTTTTATTTCTTGACAACCCTGATATCAATAAACTGCGAAGAAACATTAAAGTTGAATGTGTATAGGTTGTTGGAACTATTTTTGTCTATTCATTGATGATTTTACATTGTCTACGGAATGAAACTTAATCAAACAACTACTCCCTTTAGCTCGATGGGAATATTTTGTCCCTCGAAATGTATTACACATATTTGCGATTGGTTGTTTGTTCCTACTAATTTTTATCTTTTTTTGTCTTCTGTTCTCTATTTTGTCTCTACATTCAATAAAAAGCGATGTGTTAAATATTGCTCTGCTAAAGATTCTTTAAGCTATCAGATGTATTACTAAACTTTTTTTGACTAAAATAAATGATTTTCAATTCATTAAATAATCATATAATTCATAAATAAATGTTTAGTCAATAGAGCTGTAGCTTCATTAATATTAACACTTATCATCACACCAAAAATTTGTTATACTAAACACTTTTTGTATTCTTAATTTCAGTCTGTACCATGGTTAACAAAATGTGTATCGTTAAGTCATTGGGCAACAGTCAAACCAGAACAGAAATCATTGACTTCAAGTTTATTTACGGATTTTAATAAAAAGATAGTATCACGAAGTGAACGTGGTTCTAATGGTGATGGTAATACTACTAAAGGCGGGATCTTAATCAAAGATCTGTCTCCAGGTAGCTATGAATTCCAAATCTTAGCCATTTCGCTTGCCGGTAGTGGAGAATGGAGTCCTACTGAAATTTTCAATATTCCATTCTATACAGATTATAATGGCATAGTGAACCGTATGTTTATTAGATTTTCGTCATCTATAATTTATATTATCTCGTTATTTTAAATCCATGTGTAATAATTATTAACACGAAAAATTGACTAGTTATATTTGTATTTCTTGTTCTCTGTCATTAATAATCACTGCCAATGATTCTGTACTTTAGGAACACGCATTTTAAAACAACCAAGGGCCGAAGTCGATAAAATTGTTGTTTGTATAAATCAATTTCCTGGCTTTAAGTAAAGATGGTTACCATCTGTCCACTATCTTATACAAGGGTGATGAATTCTGTAATTTTTAGAATCTTCCCGTTGTTAATATTTAAAATATGTCCAACTAACGACTTCCATATAAGGTGCAACATGCATTGTAGATTCCATTACTAGCTAGAATACTGGTAACCTAATGCCAATATCGATACAATCCGCCAGAGATTAACAGTCTCATCAAAATTCTTAAAATCGACTACAGAAAGATCCAAAAAGTTAAAAAAAATAATTAAAATTCTGGTTGTTAGCTTATTTGACAACATATGTAAAGGACTTTTGGAATGTGATAATTTTGTCGACTACATAGGAATAGGTTTTATCAATCATAAATATCATAGAATAAGTTTATTTCTGACAAACAATTCAAGTGATTAGCTCAAACATTCTTTAGTGATCATAGAATTTGAAGTGTTATTTTTAAAGATGAATGTACACTTTGTATAGACAAATGTTTATAAAATATTTAAAAATTATAACATGTAGTAGTCTGATGCTTCATATGTGACCAACAATCAATGTGTTGCGTTGAATACGTGGATCATTATTGTAGCTAATTGTGTTTTCAATTTTCTAGCTACATATTTCAATCTCATAGTTCCCATCAAGATAATGTCATTAATTTAGACATAGTATCATCATACCAAACACTATATCCGTTCACTGAGTTAGTTCCTAGTTTGATTACGATGTTGGATTCTTTTAATTTTCATTGCGATTCACCAAGATACTTTTAAAATTTAGGAACTAAAAAGTCTTAAATTTATGTACATAATTGTTTCACATTCTTAAAAATTTAATTTCAGAAAGAAAACTTGCAAATATTTGCACAATCACTGTAGGTGCATTTTTGTTGCTCTGTTTCATTTTCGGGATTATTTGGTATAAAGCACGTCGTTAGTAAGTTCTACTCAATGTTGTTGTCGATTTTTTTTACAGATGGAGAAAGTCTCTAGTAAATACTCTTTTTTTCCAAAACCAATTAAATCAATGAATAAAAGAGATTAAACGGATTACCTGTCGTAAAATTCATTCCTTTTGTTGTCTTCTCTTTTGTGCAACTGTCTGTAAAATAATTGTTTGTGTACATTAAATGAAAAAAGTATATCGTATTACAAATACTGTTCAATATATTTACGTTAGTCATCTAACTGGTATATGTAGTAATTAACATCCTTTAGTAAACATAGTCTACTCTTATCCACTGAGGTTTATTCTCCCTACTCGTCTGACCTTCATATGCATCAGTTAGATGTTTCGCGCCTTACTCTTGAGCTAACATTCAATACAATACTTACAATTTCAAAAGACGTAGTTAATTTCATCATTGTCTACAAGGATTTAGTCTGTTAATTGGTCCAAGTTTATCGACAAGCGACCCCAGTCTTAGGCTTTGTACTAGTTAACCCTAGTCAGCTAAACAATACATAGGGGAACTGATAATACTCGTGGGATTGGTACCCATATCACCTAATGTCATAATCTTAGACATTACCACAGATATTTGGACTGCGACCAACCTTTTGTATAACTTAGATCATGTGATTAACAGTTTCGGTCAAAGTTTTCTTACGTGAATTTCGTGAACCACTGGACGACAAAATATTTAAAATTATACTAACTTCAAGACTTTTCAAGTATATGGTTGTTGAGATATTTTGAAAGTAAAGATTGTCTACTTTCTATTGTCTGTGCCTAGTGCAAATAATTTGTTTATATTGATTTTATATTTTTCTTTCTTCACATAGTTATTTAAAGGCTACAGCTTGGACATCAAACAATCCTGATTATTGTACAATTTATGAAGTTGACGATTGGGAAATTACTAAAGACGATGTTGATGTTTTACATTGGAAATATCCAATTGGTCGTGGCAGTTTTGGTACTGTATATAAAGGTGTTGTAAAACAGTTGAAAACACCAGCTAAGTTATTTTATAACAATCCAAGAAATATACCTGTTGCTATCAAGGTAGGTAGATAATATTCTTCAACAGTTTTTTTCACTTATCAAACAAATTGTTGTTGTGAGTGTTTCTCGTATCCTGATGCAATTAATAATTGGTATTTTGCTTTTCATTATACTATCATCGCCATTAAATATTTTCCGTTTTCTATTATAGAATATTGATTCGATTGTGGATATCTTTTCTTGACTGTCCTACGTCCACTTTCGGCGTTGAGCCTCGACCGCCAAAATAGGCGTCCGTACATTAAATTAGTTCACTTGTGTGTATACCAATTCAACTTCTGTGTAATTAGTTACGTAGGCCTCACTCCGAGGGCTTTATCCTTGTGTGTTCGTAAACATATGTCAGCACGGTTGGGAAAAGAAGTTACTAATTCGATTAACAGCGTCATTCTTTCTCACTTGATAGATAATGAACATCATACTAAAATAGATGAAACTCTCTTTGTATTATATCAAGTTTCAAACAGTCTACCTAAAGGAGCTAAATTACGACTACTCTACATAGCTGAAGCTATCTGGACCAACTTCAGAAAACCTAACTTGTGTATTTAGAAGAGGTATATTCAGAGGTATTTGCCTTGGTCCACAACTGGATCACCAGATACCTAAACTAGATATTGTAAATCTCTTACCGCTCCTTCCAATCTCTTAATTTACAGATTCATTTTTGCCAACACATCTCTTTTTACATAATATATTCACACAGCGTTATTATTATTATTATTACCTCGATTAACAAGACGAAATTCTCCTACTATGCATTTTGTTCATACGATATTTTATTTTCTCATATTACTATTGTATTGATTATGACTTGACATTTTACTACAAATCATTCTGAACTTTCTAAGTTATAAATAGTACAATTTTGAAATATTTATGTCGTGACATATGCAAACGTTCACCAATTTTAACATATAACATTGTCAAATTCATTAATACATGCCTTATTTTTGGCCTTTGCTAAATATTACAATAATTACAGACTTATAACTGTAGAGCCTGATGATAAAGTTATTGAAAACAATTGTTTGCTCAAATATTCTTGGTTCACTTGTGTTTGGTCTTCTTTTTTTGTGATATCTTTATTAGACAATCAGCATGCACAGCACTTTATTTGATCATCGTGATTTCATTAATGAAGCATGCTTTATGAAGCAATTTCAAAGTTATCATCTAGTACGTCTACTTGGTTTAGTAACTAAAACTAAGCATAAACATAAATCGGTAACATTTACTGATCGATGTATAAATTTATTACATCAGTATCATTTTGGTAAACTGTGTCTCTTTGTCAGTCGAATTTTAATGTGGACATCAACTCTACCATTATCATCATCGTCGTCGTCATCACCAAACGTAAAACAATCTTATTTGCTTACCTCGTCAATATCACCTTCATTACGCAAACAAATGTTGGATGGTGAAGATCTTAATTGTCACACATTGGGTATGTTATATGTGTTTGTATTCTGCTTACTTTTCTTCTACATTCAAATTGATCTATGTTCATTTGTTATAAAAAATCCTACTTCCGTCTTCTTCATCAAATAAAAGTAAGTTGTATGGTGAATTTTATTTCAAGTAACCTTTTTCAGCAAATGCTTGTGTAGTTTGTGTTCATTGTTGCCTCCTGTATGGATTCACTGGATGTGAAAAAAAAATCTGATTCATTATCAAACACTAGTCAGTTGCGGTGTAGTTGCAGATGAATTGAATCATTGATTAATACACTTTCAATTTCATGAATTATCTTTTAGTGTTACTGAGATCTATAATCTGAAATGATCCAGGTTGCAGTTTTCTCAGATGTTTTAAATAGTTGGTTGGAGTTTTTTCAGATTCCTCTTAAGGTTGAAATTTTGAAAATGAAATGAATAATTAACTCGAATCTTCTATTCATAAATTTCTTGTGTTTAATTTGCTACTACAATTGATATTATTGTTATAGTTATTTGGCTGCTTTACTTTTCTTTTCAATCATCTCTTTTTCATTATATCAATGTAAACTTTGACCACTTGAAACCGACCCGCTTCTGTGTCAGTTCGTAAATGATTTATGATTAATTATCCAATTTCGATTCTTGTTTACATTACTTGCATTTTAACTACATAAAGTTAAGGGTGTATCTCAACAGTCATATTTCTCTAAACTCTAATAAAATAGATTGCAAGTTACGTTTCATGTTTGACTGTTTATAAGCTTAAATTGCATTCAGTTATAACATATTTTCTAATTTACTTTTACCTAACTTCACAGGTTTATCAAAACAACAATTTACACACTCTGACGATACATCTTTATTTAATAACACTCAATCAATTGGTTTAATGAATAAAGTAGCACCAGAAAGTCCATTAGTTATTATGCAATTGATGGCTAAAGGCGATCTAGCTAGTTATCTACGTTATTTAGGAGACAAAGGACAAGGTTCCGTTAATTCATCACAAGCGTATCTATGGGCAACACAAATAGCTGATGGTATGGCATACTTATCTGCTAAACACTATGTTCATAGGTAATGATTTTCTATTTAAACAAGGAGGGATTTCATACATTTTATTAAGTAAAATGTCAATGTTAATTAATTAGAAACTATTAGTTATGTTTTCGATAGCTGTATTCTGACAACTTATTCCTAATGGTATTTCATCATTGGTACAATAAAACTAGTCATATTTATTAATTCATTGCTTCGTTGTTATCTTTTCCTTATACATGGATGTTTACGGAAGCAATGGTGAAATTATATTCAATACACATAATGTTATGTAACCAAATCCTTACCAATGATGGTGGTTGATAAAAAACTAATTTATTATATAAATATATTTTTCATAGTTGAAAGCGTGAGTCAATTGAAGCTAGACCACCATGGAAAACCTGGAAACACTGGACGACTGAGGAGTCCCATAATAGGACGAAACGGCCGTCCAGTGTTTCCAGGTTTTCTATGGTGGTCTAGCTTCAATTGACTCACGCTTTCAACTATGAAAAATACTAAATCTCCACAAAACCCCTTCTGATAATTAATATAAATATATGTCAATTATACTCTATGTTATAAATGCCTTTATATTTAGATGTTAACATAATTGTTCCTCAGAATAAAGTAGACGATTTAGTGGTCAGTTTATTATCGAATTTTTCAATGTTTAATAACCGGATCATTTCAAGTTACAAGTGCAATGCGATTCAGCATATGTTTTAATCTCATTGATGTAATATCCATTGATTCAAGATGTTTGAAACATTTTATGCGCGTGTTGAATGTCTTTTATCAACTTTGTCAAAATCAATTACACATAGACATCTTGAAAAGAACTTGATAATAGAAATCAATCCGGTTTCTCTAATTCTAATAACCGTTCACTTAATCTATTTATAACCTTTACCAATATAAAGCAATTAGTCACTTTGAAAAATTTCGATAATGTAATAAGAAAACGAAGACTATCAGAACTATGTGATATATTAGCGCAATACATTTCGAACAATCTGATCACACATATACTTGTTAAGAACATTTATGTATAAAAAATAAAAGGTCAACTAGACTGGAAATGGGGGGGTGAGGTAAGAGTAGACAAGGATAATAATAATAAAAATAATATGAAAACAATTTGACACCTAATCACTCTGGTTAATAAGCATATATTGCAAGGGTAGGTTTAAGGAGAGAACAAACTGTTTTTGAATACACAAAGGGGGTTTGAATTTTCGTATGGCTAAGGCTTCAACAAACCTCAGTATACGCCCTTTTACACTTTTAAACAACACAACAAAAGTCGAGTTAAGATCAATCTTATGACCACTATCCATCTTTGCTTACAATGCTTGTGAATTAAGGCTATATCGAGGCAATACGCACAGTATGCACATATGCAAATTAGAGACTGACCAGTTGCAGTCCTAACACATCGATGGGAAGATTCAAACAAACAATACTAAGTGAATTTAATCTTATGACCTGTTTCGATTATATGTTTGGCAATAGAGGATGATAGATGTTTATCTTCTACTCTTATAGGGTCATTCGACTCTATTTGTTTTTGAAACCATTTTGGTACATTCAACTTAGTATTGTTTATAGAAGGGGTTTTGTGGAGATTTAGTATTTATCATTGTTGAAAGCGTGAGTCAATTGAAGCTAGACCACCATGGAAAACCTGGAAACACTGGACGGCCGTTTCGTCCTATTATGGGACTCCTCAGTCGTCCAGTGTTTCCAGGTTTTCCATGGTGGTCTAGCTTCAATTGACTTACGCTTTCAACAATGATAAATACTAAATCTCCACAAAACCCCTTCTATAATTAATATAATAATATGCTCACTAGTGATTTCGAGAAGTATATCTAGGAGCTCTAGTGAGAAGCAGTGACCAGTGGAGTTCAAAACCACGTCTGTTGTGAGATAGGAACTCACTGAAGACGATTGGTGAATGGTTGCTCAACTTCGTGGACCAGTTGAAGTTAGACATTAACACCGTTGGATGCCAGCTCAGTGGTCTATCGGTTAAGGGCTTCGGCTCGAGACTGGTAGGTCCTGGGTTCGAATCTCGCTCGCGAGAGCAGGTTCGTGGATGCGCACTGTTAGTATTGTTTGTTTGAATCTTCCCATCGATTTGTTAGGACTGCAGTTGGTCAGTCTCTAATTGGCATATGTGCATACTGTGCGTATTGCCTCGATATACCTTAATTCACAAGCACGGTTATCAGAGATGGATAGTGGCTAGCAGTGGAATCCAGGACGCGCGTTTCGTCCTATTTGGGACTCGTCAGCTGGATGTACCTGCATCTCAGAGTTGATCTTAGAGACTGACCAGCTGCAGTCCTAACAAATCGATGGGAAGATTCAAACAAACAATACTAATTTGAATTTAAACTTCACCCCATCGCACAAGCAAGTGGCTATCAGGACTCAGTGGCTGAGTGGATAACGCGATGGCGTTTGAAGCGAGGGTATTGGGTTCGAGTCCCAGAGTGAACATCAACTCTGAGATGCAGGTACATCCAGCTGACGAGTCCGAAATAGGACGAAACGCGCGTCCTGGATTCCACTGCTAGCCACTATCCATCTCTGCTAACCATTTTGGTACATGTTCACCCACCCTAATTTTCAGATCACGATTGCTCCTCCCTATGTATGTGTGACCACACACACATTTAAATTGGTAAACGCAGTGGGATGTGACACAATCGTTTTCATGTCTTCTATGTTTTGAATGAAGCATAGACCTCGTTCTTTCTTTGATTATGACCTTCGCTGCACAATACGTTTTGTTGATGACTGATTTAAGCCTTTGTTTCAATAAAACGCTATTTGAATCACCTACTTAGAAGTATATCTAGGAGGGGAAGTTGGTCGTTCTTCTCCTCTTCTCATGAGAGACTGATATGGTTTTGGATGGTGATAAGTTTATTCAATAAGCAGTTTATATCTTCCTTTCTTTCACAGATTACTAAGATATCGTCCACATATCTCATAAAATGACATGTTTTCGATTAAGTCTTCAGACAAATGGAAATCTAAATATGATAAGTACAATTTCATGGGGATGATCCTTTTCGAAAGATAGAAGGTTAAGGTTAATACTCAACTCAGGATTTAGAGGAAGATTGAGAATGAATACAAATACACGTTATTACTCATTAGGGGAATGTCATCCAACATTCTCTACAAATAATTATATATAACACGTAGGTCCTGACCCGGAAATTTGCACCTACTGATGTAGCTCAAACACGTGATTAAGGTCTTCATGAATTGACACCATGTTTATCTAACTGAAATCTTAAACTAAGAATTAGAAGGGTTATTTCTTGATATTCTTCACCGATTTCTAGCGAAAATTAAGTAGATTGCGGAATTCACAACGAAGTCAGTTTTCCTGTCAAATAATTTGTTTTAGCACATTCAATTAGTTTACCACTTCATATTATCATACAATTCAATAGAAAATTTTATTGTTTTCATTATGTAGAGATTTAGCTGCTCGTAATTGTCTTGTTGATTCCAATCTTACGGTTAAAATTGGGGATTTTGGTCTGTGCAGAGATGTTTATGGACATGATTATTATCACAAAACAAGTCATGCTAAACTTCCAATTCGTTGGATGGCCCCAGAATCTCTTCAAACTGCTTACTTTACAACACAATCAGATGTTTGGTTAGTTACTAGCTATTTAGAAAAATCTGTTTAAATAATAACATATTTTACGGTTTCATTTTTGCCCCCAAATGCCCTGGTACGGCGGAGAGTGGGGAGAGTTCGCTCCCCCTCACGAAATGCTCTCACATGGCCACGCGAATATATAGCCTCTGCCAAGGAAGTCCTATCCACTGCCTTCTCGCTGCAGGGGTGTTGTTTACGTAATTGAGAGGACGAAAGGCGAATGTCCGGCGCTTTAACCGGGTTGGTTGACATGGAGGGTCCACCTAGGGGAGTTGGAAAACCCTGATTTCAAACCAATGGTGCACATGGGCTCCATTATCCTGAGGGAACAAATGGTGTATGAACCTATCGTTGGTCACCGGCTACCATGGGACTGCATCTCCTCACGATGCTCCACTGCTATATAGATCAAACCTTTAGGTCGAAGGCTCCGGGTGTGGCCTCCTAAGAAAACCACCTGCTTCTGTTTGGGCACCCGGGCAGTATCATAGCCCTCACGCAATTAAATGAAATGACAATTTTTTTGTGTGACTCATATATATCTGGTGCCCCCTTGTACCAATATTTATGTGTTCAAATAATAATAGTAATAATATTAATAACACATGAAATACCTAGAGTTAATTAGGTCTCACTAGAAATTTTCGCGGTTGTCATCATTTACCTTAGTTTTCATGGTCAACATGGTCAACATCAATGGTTGAAACAGCATTTTAATCACTCATATCCAATTATTCTATTAATTTTGATTCATTGTAATTATAAGTCATTGTGATTTGTTGAGGTTTGAAATCAACAGTAAAACTACAAGTCTACTGTTCATTCTTAAACATTCCATAATAATAATGATAATAATCAAATCTCGAAGTTATCAGTTATAGATTTGAGGAAATTTAATAATATTAAAGGTAAATTAGTAGAGGGATTTAAAATCGTAATTTTTGTCCATATAATTTTTATTGCAAAAGTAAATTTATAATATTTAGTTAACGGCGTTATTATATATAGGAATAGCCTAGAAAGACTAATTTTTTTCCTTTTTATTACTAGCCTAATGAATATCTCACACATAAATTTATGTACTCATTCTTGCTCAGTGGTTTGACCATTTCTAGTGACATTTTGAAGGGAGATTTTATCACAGGTTCCTGTTATTCTCAGAATAGTTTAAAATCATAGTGTAATGGAAAAGTTGATTTTATTTTGGGAATGTCGATAATCTTCACAGGGTTACCTCATATTTCAGTGTTTGATCAATACCTATTAATCATTAATGGTGACTAAATGCAAAAGTAGCAAAGATATCATTCTGTTTTCGTTTTATGGATGTTAACTATATATTTCCTTGTATGTTATTAGAAACTATGTGTATCAGAAAATTACCACTTTATCATATTGTCTGTTTATAACGAATCGGTTATATGTGCTCCCTATTCCTTTATATATCATACTTTCAAATGACACAGGTCTTATGGAGTTGTTTTGTGGGAGATAGTTACTATGGCATGTCTTCCTTATCGTGGTATGTCTCATGAAGAAGTGGTCAAGTACGTTCTCAGTGGAAAAACACTTCTATCCAATGGTTCACCTACCAACTGTCCAGAACTCTTGTAAGTTCTTGTAGAGAAGTTTGTCCTGTTATCGAGTATTTATAGTAGATTGCGTATCATACTTTGATTTTCATATTCTCATTCTTTTGGCTACTGAATATGTTTTTTCATGTGTTCTTTTACATAAATTTTCTGTCGAATTGTGAGGTTCTTTATACCTGTATTTTTAATGTTTTACAAGCTGACTACTGATTTTGAATGAAGTTGGAATACAAATTTAAAGCATGCATTTGGATGATCCCTGCCACTAAAATTTAAATAATCCCAACATTTCATCTTGTAAACTGGTTCAAAGTTGTTCAATAGAAATATAATCGAAATCAACATTACCAAAACATGTATAATGTATAAGTAACAAAATCACACTAAAAGCATATCCAGTTATGCTCATATTAAATTAAGCGAAATGAACAAGATTTCCAGGATAAAATGAATTCATTATATTTCAAGGATTCTCATCAGCTGCAAACGTCCTAGAGTTAGATTAGTAATATTACTACAAAAGAGTTTTACATACCGTGATCGTTGAGGTTTTGTTCGAAATGACATAAGAGATGAGAAGTGGAAACAATATCTTTTGTCTATAGTCATGCGATGAAACAACTTGGTGCGGAAATCGCTCGTCAGTCATCTACAACGTAGGACCAGGCACGCATATGCGTCGATCCAAGTTGCCATACCTCATTAGCACAACAAAATCAACACCAAATTCATAGAAGCAGTTACCTCAATGGTAGCAATATATTAAAAGAAGAGATTTCATATAAGGATATGATACAGTGAGAAAGAATTAGTTCGTAGAAAGAAGGGTATAAAGTAATTTTGATCTCACAGTTTAAGGGAAGACAGAGAATGTATACACCTACACCATTGTAATAGATCCTGAACCATGTCACTCAGAGTCTCCAACTAGGGTTTACGATAGTCGTGTGGACTCCAACCAAGTAGTCTGCATCTACCAATATGGCTCACACCAGAAGTTAGTAACTTTATGGACTAATGCAACATTTTGGTTTGGCAACCACTAACTTCCATCCGCCTCCTAAATTAGTCAGCGTTTCTCACCGTGGTAGTCGGTGATTGGGCATGCGTAATACGTAGCCTACCCATCTCAGTCGATGTAGATCAACAACTTCATCAACTGATTTACCATCATTTCTTAATACCCTGCGTCCAACCTCACTATTACTTACTCGGTGATCACAGCAGATACGAGCAATATTTCTAAGACATCTGTGATCAAATACCAGTAACTTACGAGTATCGTCTACCATTAATGGTCACGTTTCGCAGCCCTTAATTGATAGACGGATATCTCGCCGTCGTCATTGGGGACGTAAGTTGACAAAAGCCAAACGAGCTTTTCGAATCCGTGAAGAGGCTTCGTCAGACACCAACCCATTAGGGCTGATCAGAGTTCCAAGATGAGTGAAGTTATCGATATGTTCGACTACTCCACTCCCTATCCTTAGTTCAGGTGTTGACGCAGACCAGTTCTGAAGCAGCAATTCGCATTTAGACATGGAGGAACGCATCTCAAACATTCTGGTATTGTTGCTTAGTGCTGCTTTTAAGTCAAGAAAAACCTTTTCTCAGATCCTGGTAAGCATGCCCATGTTCTAAGATCTGACGAGTGGTGGATATGTGATCGGTACAGCCGCGATTAGTTTTAAAGCCAGACTGATTCTCTCGTATTTGCAGTTCACGAGTCTTCGTTAGGCGCCTTATGATTACCAGGACTAATATCTTAGACACTATATTAGTCAAACTAATCCCTCTATGGTTATCAAATGATGATCTTGATCTCTTCTTGTATATTGGGACGTTCAGTGATTGTGACCAGTCAGATGGGATTATGTCCAGTTCCCAGATTTTAACTATAATGTTAGCCTAATCGCTGAAACTGGACCACCCTCCCTTAAGACCTCTCGAGTTAATCCGTATTTACTAACTGCTCTTCCTCGTTTCAGATTAGCTATAACCTTTTTAACCTTAATTAGAATCGGGGAACCTATTTCAATGTTCCATTCAGGCCGTTTGGGAATGACGGGTAGCTGTAGAGTAGCTGAAGTCCTGCTGAACTGCTCCTTAAAGTGTTCCGCCCATCGTTCTAAACTTCTAGACTAAGAACATGTAAGAATGCCGTATTTTCCTGAGTTTGTCTTATTAACATCTGACTTCTAAATTCCGGCCACTTTTATTAGTCTGAAAAGCTGTCTTACGTTATCTACAGCCGCCGCCTTTTCCATCTATTTCGCTTTCAGTGCTCACCACTGCTCATGATCGTTCCGTAGATTTTCGATTAGCCTAGATCTGATTTGTTTTTGCTCTTCATCATGTTCGGAGCCTGATGGAATGAGCTTACGAAACTCTACCGATGCACTAGGTGTCGCAGAAATCCCATGGTTTATCGTAACCCCTTAGTTCAAATCACTAATAGATATCGCCACTGTTTCCACAGCTTTTCGCATATCTTTCCAAGCAACATCTGGGTCATCCTCGTTGTCGGAATTGCCTATATGTGACTTCAGTTGTTCCTGAAATTTACCTTCATCTTTCTTATCGCTGAGTTCAACTGTAATGGGTTTTCTTAATGTGATTTTTCTGCGTCAAGTGAAGAGAAAACAAATGAGTACTCGTATTAGAACATAGTCAGAACCTAAACATGTATTCCGTCTCAATGAAATAGCATGATAGTTGTGTTAGATCTAAGTATCGCTTAAACGTTTGAGGTGTGGTCGTCTATTCAAAACTTTTTGATTTCTGTGTTGATTGTTATGCTGTATCCCTTTTTCTTATAAAAGCTATTCGCCTCATTATCCTCTACATAAATTAATTAAAATGACATTTCATTAATGAGTTGAGTATTGTGTAAAATTTATGTATTCATAAAAATTGTAGGAGTGAAAACAATTCTTTTTGATTTTCAGGATGTTTTTGTTGCTGGTTAAATTTAACAGATAGCATGATTTGAGACTATTTTTTTTGTAATGTTTTTATTTTCCTTTGGTCTTTTACTCATCCTCCCTTATTAAATAGTTTGTATTTTAATTAAATTTCCTTTTTACTTTTATTTAGTCGTGCATTAATGCTTCATTGTTGGAACTTCAATCCCTTGAAGCGACCAACATTCCTAGGACTATGCGCTCTACTTTCACCATGCTTTGGAGATGCGAAATTTCGACTGGCTAGTTTTTTTTATCATGGTGAACAAAGTTTTGTAAATAGAGACAATCGTACAAAGGTTTTGGAAGCCCCTGTTGTTTCATTAGGTAAATTGAACATATCATGTAATCAAGATCCCGCACATGCACTTGCGTCTGCTTTGAGTACCTTATTCTGTGGTACTGATGAAGATTCTAGTTATGATTACAGTGATCGAAATATTGACCCTCCTGATGATTTTTCTGTACCGTCAATTCAGTTCGGTGCCATTAGTCGAACAGCGACAGTTAATGAAAGGTCTATCGGTAGTGGTCACTTTAATGAAACTCGTTTGGTGAATTGTAGTTCTGAAGATATATCTTTGAAACAAAATGATGACGGCATTGCTCTGTCAGAGGTTCAATGTTTGTTAAGATTATGTGAACCAAACTCAAATCTTGCCGTTCCAGCTTTCGTGGATTCTGAATCGTTTCCTTTGATATCCAATCATATAATGAAGTTTGATCCTGATGAATGTACGAACTTTGAACTAAGTAAAACTAGAAACGTTATCGCATAAACTAATAAAATATTTTTTTTCAATTGTCATTCCTTGTGATAGCTTTGTGTAATTTCATATTTCTAAATTATTTTGCAAATTGTTTTCACCTTCTTTTTTGATAATAAATAACTTTACTATGAAATTGTATAGTTGCCCAGACGCTTCAATTTTGCTATTGTTTATTCAGGTTGTTTTTCGAGATATTTGCCAAAAGTTAAAAATAATTGTCAAGTTCTTTTTAAACAAGATAACAGTTGATGATCAATACTGTTACTCTACTTTTCACTTTAGATCATTAAATTTAGCCGGTTTATGTATTTCACGTGAAATGTTTAGTACTAAAATTAAAAAGTTTGATGTTTTAATTAGTTTCGTTGTCCAATATGTAATAATTCTAGCAGATATAGCTCCTAATTAACTTCAGCTAAATAGAATCCCTAGTTTAATTTTATATATTATATTTTCTGGGAGAATACACTTCATCCATGAGATTTTCCAGACAGACAATGAGAACGGTTAGTTAAGTTTGAGTTTTCTCAAATAGAAAGATAACTAATGTATGACCAATTACACGGTAGATAAGAATAAATAACAGACGTACATGCAAGCAAACCATAGATATAAACGTACGTAATTATAATTAGCATGGATACAAATTACATAGGTTTCAATTTGTTACGATGGGTATGGAGTTATTGCAAAGAAAAATTATTCGCTAGTCACCTGTTGTTTGACATCACTATATGTCAAGAAGTCAAAGTACATTTACATAGGCGCACAAAAGCCACTACAGGGCACTGCTGGGTTGAATTTTCACATTTAAGCACATTCGTTGGTGTCGTCATGCAGAATAAAATAGTTTTTGTTAGCAATTTAGTTGCATCTAACTATTCTTAGTTTTCATGGTCATTACGTTGGTACGCTGAAATTTAGTACATGTGTGTGTAGATTCAAATGAATACAAATAATGTTCAAGTAAAAGATGAACCCTAAGTGATAGTCTTTTAGCTGTAGCGAGTACTTCGATATTTTTTATTATATGAATATGGAAAGCTTTGATTTTTAGAAACGATTTTCTAGGAAAATTTCTAGTAAATTACAATGTTTGGTTGCGGATTTTCTTCAGAAGTCTAGATTTTTAACTACGGAACTGCGAACTTACATGAACGGTTATATAGTAAATACTTGATAGTCATTCTTCAACCTTGTATCATATCAGGATTTATATTTTACTGCTAGAATTCGATCCTTTTTTGATTAAAATTATAAATTACTATGGACTGAACGTGACTATTATTTATTTTTAAAGGCGTGACTACATTTAACAAATAATTTCTGGAATGCGATACGAACTTTAGGATTAAAGTAAGTAGATATATGTGGAGATCCATGAACTGATAAAACAAACGATTCGAATCTATTGTGAAATATTCTCAGATATGAGCAGTGAAATCAGAGTACCTTAGAAATCAGATAATCGGTAATTAAACCGTTTAATACTTTCCCATCCCAGTCAGTCATACTCAACTTGGGACCTGGAACGTATCTACAGGGTTTCAAGACTCCTCATTCTGTTAGGGCCGAGGAGTAGAACTGTCAAGACAAACAACATAGCAACAAGGATAGTGACAGCATTAGTGATAATCAAAGTGATTAAACATATATGTGGTTGAATAAAGTATGGGTTTAGGAAATAAAGACAATTTATTGGGTATAACAATTTTTAAGCATAGATAGGAACTAGAATCTCCGATTCGTGCCATTTTATACTTGTCGGTTTGGTGTACTCGTACCACAGAGTTGATATTCTCTCTGGAACTTGAACTTTCCATCTGTGCTCAAAAATGCTTTTATTTTTATACCAATATCAAGGTCATCCACATAAGGCGCACCTATGTCTACAGACGCACATCAGTTGCAAGATCTGAATAACCTGAGCATACAACATTATAATGTGGTGTAGCTGTAAATAAATCACTAAAATCAATAGCTCTGTAAGTGTTCGACATTGGAGGCTGACCACATTAGTTTCAGTGGACTCATTTAGCTTAAGGCGCTCGGTCATGCATCCGTACCAGATCACGTTACAGAACGGCGTGGGAAGCGTCTCCTACGATCATTATCCAGATTAGATCAGTCACTTCCCTATATATTGATAACCCATCAAATATATCTTCCAACCTCTTCGCTTTTGATTTAACTGAGTGGGCACAATTCGATTATAGGAGGTGTTACTGGTAAAGAGTTGCCAAACTACAATACTGGTCGTATCTTCAGTGGGATCTACGTGAGAACAAAGAGTGAACGCACCTTGTGCTTGAACGAACGATTTTGAGTTACGTCACTCAAATTCTGTGACAATTAGTAACGATAATTATGTGAATTGCAATCAAGTTGTTTGCACCTACCAACATGGCTTAGTTCGATTGTGAATGACCTCGTGAACTGATGCAAAATGTTGGTCTGACCACCTTTAACTTTTTTGAATCTGCTTCTACATCATTTGACATTGCGAGTCCATGTAGCCATTGGATAGGCGTACGTAACATATATTCAAAACATATCAGTTGACAATAACTCATCACCACACTAGTCGACTTGTTAAAGTAACGTATAACCCTTCGTCTGATCACAGAATGTCAAACTTGATGGTCCCATGACCCAAGAGCACTGGTTAAAAGACACTTGTAACTAAGTGCAGGTGACTTGAGAATATCTTGTATTTCTAAGGGCCAAATTTTTCTCATCCACAAAGTAGGAGTATGTGTCATGATGTACACTATGCACTCCTTTTATCTGGAAGGCTTTTGTCCAGCCTACGCCGCAAGTAATCCAAGTTGATAAAGGCTGACTGATCTTCTGGATTCATTTTGAGATTTCGTCATATACTAAACCACAATGACTGGTGAAACCCTCATGAAGTTATGGGCATACTCAACCACTTCGTTCCCTATAATTAGTTTGGTAGTTGACAAAGACCAGTCCTGAAGTAACATTTTAGGTTGGGAGAGAAGGAATCGAATTGTGAAGGTGTTATCATTATTGTTCAGAGCGGAAAGAAGATCTCGCATCATCAGAGTTTTTCATTGAAGAGGACTTTTTCGTGTGAGTATTTCAAGTCAGAAGGTAGATCTTTCTGTTTTGAAATTAGTTCCTCGAAATTCACACGATGAGTCCATTATCTTTAAAGGGGTGTCCGTTGCACAGTTAAATCCATAGCGGATGATCTTGATGAATAAGGCTTAAGGATATCAATCACCTTTCACAGTTTACGATAAGCTCCCAACCAGTCAGTGCTGTTGGAGTGAATAAGCTGTACATGGTTTGTGTACGTCTTTGAAATGCATCTCAGTGACGAGTACTCTCATGGGGACCGTCAGTCTGTTGTGTCGTACGCTACCTCAATTTTCAGAAATACAACTTTGGCTGAGAGATGGTAGGTATATCTGTATTCGAAGCAAAAGGTGAATATTTTGTGTTGTTACTATATCTACGTTTGAAAACACCCTGATTTTCCTGTCTTTAATCTTCACTAATCCTTGTTAAACGTTGTATGACTGTCGTGGCCAATATTAAAGAACCTGTATTGATCGAACTGATTCTATTGTGGTCACCAAAAGAGTATTATGATCTCTTCTTGTATAGCGGAATGGTTGACGATCGTAGTCAGTTGGAAGTGATCATAAGACTCTAGTTAATATTTCAACTAATCTTACTGGTTCACACTCTCAAAACTCATATAAATCCATTAGAACCTCTTATTCCCTGTCCCTTTGAATTAGCTGAAGCTTTTTCACCTTCACTAAGATTCGAGAAGCTTATAATGACGCCCTATTCAGGTTGTTTGGCAAAGTCGATTTTAACCTTCTTTCTGGTTTCTGCAAAGTTTCTAAATGTCTGTCTTCGTTTTTCTTTCATTACTACTAAACTGATGTATCCCATATTAAGTTTTATTGACTGACTTGACTATCTCCAAGAAATATGAATCATGTTTCCTTTTTGAAAGAAGCACGAGTTATTGTCCAAATAACCTATATCGATAACCTTCAGAGTGTATCAACTGATAAACACACCATAAACATCACTTGATTGCACGAATGTCTGCTTTTTCTGAAAAATTAGATATTTCTAAGTCCCTTGAGAATTTGTTAGAATGATGATTTCTCAAATTTTATTGTCTCAACATTTTTTTTCAATAACATTTGCGGCTACCTGCCCAAGTGCTACGATCTACTTAGGGATTTTGTACTTTTTACGCAAGTGTTCCTCACGATCAAAACCTTAATATCCCAAACAATTTACTTGTAGGAAGCAAGGAGTATCATACTCTTGACTCGGATGTATCCAAGCTTTAAGAATTTCGGAGTTACGCATTTTACGGAAAAATCGCATGACAACTGCATTCAAACGCTGGAGAGTTTTAATAGTTATCAGTAGGTGATTTCATCACTTGTATGGAAATATGTTTTGGGCTTTCATAGCCAAAGTTATTGGACTCACATTTGAAATGTGGAGCAAGAGCAGGAAGTCCTTGTTTAAATATATAGCGGATATGTTTTTACAATGGTGAATAACCAGAATGTCTCTCTACGTGTCCTCAGGAGATGGACTAAGACTCACTCATCTATACCCATTATTCAAGTAAAAAATTCGAGGTCATTTAGTACTGGCCTACTGAACAGTGACCCTGGTCTTGATATAGTGTCTTTTCTTTTTCTCTAGTACTGATAATCTTGTGAGATATTTTCAAAAAATTCGAAAACGGAGGTCAAATCTGTTGTACCTAAAAGGTTTTCCCTCACAAAGTCATGAACTGCTGAGACTCTCTTTAGTGAAACGTTTTACCCGTCAAGGTTATTTCTGATATTTCTTCAGTCTTTACAATACCCGTTTTATTTGTTTGGAGTATTTTCTTTTTTCGCGGCCGTAAACTTTTGCTATGATTTATCTGACAACTTATATTTCCGCATGGTCGTTGAGAACAAGCATAATCGACCTGGATGCCGTTTTGGTGTCATCTGTTGTACGCAGCGTGAGAAATACAAAGGCTGATTTCACGAGTCATTTACAGACTTTCTAGGAAGTATGTAGCACTTGCAATATGAGTGCTGAAGATGTTCTGAACAGTATTGTCGGTCCTTTGACAGGCCTGAAAAAGGCATAATTGAAATGGACAAACAAACGAAGACACTCTGTAGGGCAAAGGAGAGGTTGTTTGATAACATTGGTATCGATTGTGCATTCATCAATACTGGTGTGGACTTGCTGAAACTCAGCATCGCCATAACATAGACGGTGTTAAACGCCATCAGGTAACTTGTGTCTCTCAGAGAAGCCCCCTCCACAAATACAACTGCGGTACCTAAAACCTCAACTTTAGGGGAATGGAACATTACCAACAGGGTTAAAAGGGATCTAATGTCACCATGAAAAATGTTGAACAGCCCAGGTCTTATAAAAAAATTTGCCAGTGAATTGGCCGTGCAGCCTCTTCTAAGGATTGTCAGTCCGTCAACAAAAAGCACAGGAATCCTGACCTCACTATAACTTCAAAACCAAAAGAATCTAACTTCAACGTACTGGAAAACATAGAAAATCAATCGCAGATCGAGATGATTCTGTCATAATTGTGAACCTTAGACACAAATTTGACGTACCTGGAAGTCTGCCGGATGAAAGCGATAGGATGCTTAGAGAAGCTCAAACCACCTGAAAGTATTCCAATAACGGTTACATGGCCTACGTGGAGGAAGGATACCAAGCTTCAAATTCATCCAAGAATCATTCGTCTAACGTTTTTTAACACTACTGAAGCAGAGGATGTTTCGATGGCTAACCACATGCTGAAATCAAAAGAGGATATAAGAATACAGCCTGATATACTACATTATTGGTTTTACCTCATCAGGAACAACCTTTATGGATCTTACGGGACGTTCTTTCGACGGAGAAATATCATTGCCCAAGGTGTTGCAGTACACACGGACTCTTAACACTCAGTTTACGTTATTTAAGAGTAGAAGTTCATGGAGCTGTCAAATGGTACGATTATGCAAGAAGAATAGGAGTTCTAGCTTCAGGTCGATGAAGATAAGCATCACATCCTTCAAAATGGTGGCTGCCACTTTCGAAAGATTCCATGGTACCAGACGCCGGTTAACAAATTTAAACGACATGCATCCAGACAGGGAACATGATGCAATAATTAAGCACAAAGGCAGATTGCAACTGACTGTTCAGTTAGTAGACTAGCAAGAAGAAGAGAACAATGTACAAGGAACAGGAGCTACGAGCTTGGAGAACCTGTTGCCTGTACATTCACATAAGCGTCATTCAGATAAATAGGACTGGAAATCTCAAACGTTTCAAATCGGAAGCATTAACTGTCTATATAATGAACTTGTGAGTTTACCGAACAAAACCAATGTGTTGAGTGCTAATAATACTCATCTGATAGGAATATCTGAAACGTTAACATCTTAGAATACTGATAAGGAGGTGGTAATATCTGTCATTTCCTTGTTTCTCAGCGATAGAAAAACGGGAAGGTAGGGCGGAGCAGCTCTGTATCTATTATCTTTCTTCAGAGCACATCCATCCAACTTGTAGCAACTCGCTAGAGAAACAGTCTGACGCCATCATGCTCAGATTGAAAGCTAGAAAAGTAGAATTCTCAATGGACAACCTCTCAATCATGTCTTCATTTTGGTGTGTGCTGCTGATTGATGTAAGTAGCATGTCCCGTCAATCGAGGTCGAAATTTCTGGTAGCAGACGGTCAAGAAAATCGAAGTAAGGAGAACGAGAACGAATGGTTGTTGTAGAAATAAAGGAACAGTGAAGTCTATTACAATTGATTGACATTCGTCAAAGGAACAGTCAAGTTTGAGACCATTGATTGACATTTTGCAAATGAAGATTTTACAGTTTGGTTCTCAGATTTTACTAAGGTGTTCTGTAATTTTGTGTTCATATACATTCGACTGTCCCAATTGTGTTCTCGCTCACTGACACGATAAGTAAAATGAACACGCCGTAATAGCTTTCAATTTTATCGCCGAAACAGAGCAAAGCATCCTCCTGATAACAGACTTTGGAATTTCAATCGGTTGAATGTATAGGTTTCACAGGATAACCGACAGAAGGTGGAATGGTAAGTTTATCTTCACTTTGATATGGACGCCCATTGGTACTTCTTGATGCACACGATCTTATGTGAAACAAACAGTCTGCCCTGCAAACAGTTCCGAAAAATCACTAGAAAGTACAACCACCAAACATCAAACTTTTCGACTGCTAAAACGCAAAAAGCATTACTTGGCGGAATATAAACGTGCATATAAACACTTTAAACCAGCATGTAACCGACGCGGAAGTACAATAAGAGAAGATAGGCTACGGTTTCAAATAAAGCTAGTCGACAAATTTGTCTTCAATCTGAAGAGCTTATTCTGTCATGTAGCATCTTTTTGCAAGCCGAAAGCGGAGTTCCTCCAATTGCTAGGTCCTGGTGACCTAACCAGCAGCGATAGTGATATCACCAACCTTCTGGCAGAACAGTACTCTTGGACCTTTCGACCGACCCACACGAAATATATTAATAAACGATCTACCTGAAACTCCACAGGACTTTAAGAAGTCTGAGTGTTGACTTGGTTTACTGGAAACTTTGTCACCTATATAAGACACCTCTCCTGGCCTCGATACGGTTCAATCCGCTATACTGAGGGAAGCAGCTTCAATCCTGAAAACCCCTCTTAGCGCGAAGTCCTCACACACGCCAAGCTGAGGCACATTACCGGTAAATAGGAAGCTGGCTCACATGACACTAATTTTCAAAGGAGGTCGACTCAGCGAACCGGCAGCCCTTCTCTCTATACCTTCAAAAATTATGGGTTCTCTGATATGTGACAGTATACACGACTACCTATTATCCTTAAACTTTCTTTTCACCCCAACAGCGTGGTTTCAGAAAGGGTTAATCTTGTATAACCAACCTGCTGACTGCGGTGGGCAGATGAACAACCATATTTGATCCCGAGAGGAAGGTTGACATCATATACATTGATTTCTCAAAAGCTCTTGATAGGGTCAACCATATATACCTTGTCACTAAGGTCGAACGATCAGGTATCAAATCATCGTTAATTGATTGGTTCACTTCATATCTAAGAAGTCGACATATTAAGGTTACTGCTAACTTCAATCTCTCTCAGGCTATCTAATGCCCTAGTGGGGTTCCCCAGGGTTCATTATTTGGACCTCTTCTTTTCTTGATTTATGTAAATGATCTTTCACAGCAGTTATCGTCAGATTTATCATGTTTCACAGATGATCTAAAACTCTGGAGAAGAGCATGTAACCAAGACGATAAACTGGCACTTCAGGAGGACCTGACTCGGCTTCAGAATTGAGCAGACTTACCTTTAACACCTCAAAATATATTGTAGTACATATGATACACATAGCAGAATATGGATATTATTTTTACAGCTCTTTTCTAGAGGAACTTCAGGTCCAAAAGCATCTAGAAGTGTTGGCATACTGTGATTCGAAGTCCACCGCTTCAAGGTGTGAAGGCCTGTTAAGCGAAATCTTTTTTCATCCCAACCAGAACTTTTTAAACCGCTGGAATATCAGCATTTTCCTTTAATACATCGAATCTGAGTTGGATCTTCCAAATACTACCATCCGTAAAGGATAACGTTGCAATTCTTCCTCCCAATAATCGAGTATTGATTTCTTTGTGATTCAGTCGGACATGTTATAAGCAAACATCACGTTTAAAGTAGCTTAAGAAAACGTGTGGCAGTTTTCACAATTTGTTGAATATAATCCAGATAAAAGTAAATGAAAGTAGTGAGTAGATTGAATGCCTATAAATGTTGCGGATTAAACTATTTGCTTTCAGTTTTGACTTCGAGATTGTTTTAACCTCTTGCTTTTCTCACTGCTGATTGCTGTCTATTGCTTGCTTTTCTGAATGTAAGTGCCTTGTGTGAGCTTTCTGGACCTTCACATTTTCTTTTATTCTCACTTTTCCTCGCTCACACTACTTTGCATGCTACCACTGCACAAATAATACCTTCTTGCTAAACTGAACCGCCACAACAACACACTTGTTTTAGTGTTTGTAGTTGTAACCTTGAGTCCTTCTTCCCCTTTGATCATACATGTCGTTTGAGTAAGTTTTCCAGCCTGTAGAGTTTTTCTTTCCTAAGCTAAGATTCATAAACATCTCATGCACTACTGATGTACATTTTAGAATCCGACTAGGTTTTGTTTCGAGACTAATAGGAAGGGTTAAATAATGTCAACAGAAGTAATGATATCTTCTTTTTGGAAACTATAATAACTTTCAATGGGGTAGTGATTAGAAGTATCAGTTCGTAAAAGCTTTTCTATATTCCTCTGTCTTGTCACCTTTCATATTATGCTTTGTTCACTCTTGGTTAAATGTGCATCTTCTGAGCCTGCCGTCTAAACAAAACTTAATGTAAACATTTCTCCAAATCCAAATGATGGGGAATCTTGGATTTCGGTCAGTTTATTGTCGCAATATACATATTAAATACATGCGTCTCTAATAGTTATGCTGACGAAGTTTAGTTCATAAAAAACTTAGACAATACACATGGCCCATGTTCTTCGACTCCGGTTGTTTCCAACCATTAAGTTATATAACCTTATTCTGGCTTATTTATATATTGACAAACCGGTTGTGAATTGCTAATAAAGGTTAGAAACAAAAACTGTCGTATCTTCATGATGTGATTCAGTATGTCTTGTACTCGCTGTTGAATGCTGCATGCACATAAATCTTTCGGGTCAAATTGACTTGTATTTCATTAGTCTCATGCTCGTTGTATCAGGGCATCCAAGCGTTCCTTCAGTTAATTTTATCTGGCATATATTTGCCTTAATCAGTTGTACTTGCTTCAGGCCAGTGGCTGTAGTTGTGCTATATAACCCCCAAATGCCCTGGTACGGTCGAGAGTGGGGAAATTCTACCCTCGGAATGCTCTCACATGGCCACGCGTATATAGCCTCTACCACGAAAGTCCTACTCATTGTCTCGCGGATGGGGTGTTTACGAAATTAAGAGGACAGAGAGCGAACATGGGCTTCAGTACCCTGAGGGGACTAATGGCATGTAAAACTACTGTTGGTCACCGACTATCATGGGACTGCATCTCCTTACGTCGCCCCATTGCCGCGTGGGTCAGACCTTTAGGTCAAAGACTTGAGGAGTGCCCCCCTCAAGAAAACCACCTGCTTCGGTTTGGGCACCCAGCCCTCACATGACTTTTGTGGCTCATATTTGTTTGGTGCCTCCTTGTACCAATGCTTATATGCTTAAAAAAAATAAAGAAATGAAACTATCAAGAGTGAGTTCCCGTGTAGGCGCGAGGAAATACTGGTAACAGCTGATATTCGACATTCAGTGTCCTACCTTCCAAAAGCTCTAATTAATGGTTGAATCTAGAATTCCATACATCAAATTGTCAGGACTTATGTTGACCTTAGTATTTGACATTCATATATTCAAATATTCCAGTACTAGTATAGGTCAGATAAAAAATGTTATAAAATGCAACTTTTCAGCTACGAATCCGCTCTTTCTTCACGAGATTCGGATGGGGTAGATAAGGAATTGCAGACATTTATACAAACGATACAACAAAGGGCGGAGTTTCAGAATCATGTCAATCATCTGACTTCGGTGTGTTGGGATAAGTGTGCTGCTGGATACCCGTCTTCGAAAATGGATGCTAAAAAAGCAAATTGTATCGAAAACTGTACAGAACGTTACTTGGACGTTTCCATGCTTCTTCGTAGCAGGTTTCAATCTATGTTGGCGAATATGCAACAGTAGAGTGTTTTAACAAGTGAAATACTTCACTTGTAATCATATTTGGACTCCTGTATATAGTGTAGTAAATGTCTTTATTTTCTTCTAACTAGATACCCTGTTCTTATACCTAACTGCACTGGCTATGGAGACATTTGTTCATATGTACAATTGTAAAATCTAGTTATTAACTCATGTTTTGGGTTTTTTCTATGTAAATGGAAGTTTATCTGATAAGAATATTCCTGTTTTATACTTCAAGTGGTAAATACCCTAAAGTAATATCACATTCAAAAGTTAGTGGATAAAAGATAAATGATTCTTCAACACGGTGATTAAAGTAAGCTTGTAATTGTTAAGAGGTTCTAAGTGAGGCGCTTTGATCCACTTGTACAACTTGAAACAAGAAATACTGGGTTTTATTTATTTAATCAGTTTCTAACTTTCTATACCAAATGACAAAGCATACCAGGCAGACCTTAACTAGACATTTCAACATCGGCAGATAATGGTTTACAACAGATTTACCATTTTTGCCTAAATCTATGCACTGAGCATAAACGTTCTATTTTGTTTACCAGATTTTCGACCAGATACTGGCAAACTGCGAAAACCCTTTAATGTATTAGATCGCGCTTAACATCCGTAAAATGGTAATATTTAAATGAAATATATGTACCTGTAGACATGCAAACAGTCTGCTATGCATTGCGAGTGGTTTGCTATTATAAAAATGAAGTAAAGGCTTAGCGATAAATAACTCAAAAAAGCTCAAGAATCTTAGGTAAATGGAGGGATGGTTTGGTGGTCAAGGCATTTAACTCTTAGTTCTCAAGTCCCAGCTCTGTTCTACCTACTCTGGTTTGGGCAACTGATGAATAAGTTAATTATATTTAACATCTGTGGATGTCAACCGACATGTCTACCACCATATAACGTACCTGAAAAAAAAAACGAAAGATAAACTATCACCGTTTAGCATTGGACATGAAACCGGTTATAGAAACCCAAAGATATTACAAGTATAGAGGTTGTTGTACGTGTATATTGATTACAAGTAGTGTTCTATTGAAATAGAGTTATGTACACCAATATAAAAGAGTTGCTTCTTGTGGCAGAATGGTGACTGCACAAATTTCTCTTCGCATCCTCCCAAATCGTTACGAATTTCTGGTCAGTTTGTCATGTTCTCTCAGTAAGAAGAGCTATAAAAAAAACAGGTAATAGCACAGCAAAAACGCCACTAGAAATATTGTCAGGGATGTGATAGAACACCCAAAATCATTTGTCAAGGTTATGAAGACTGTTCAGTAGTCACATTTCGATTTACAAATTCAGTTGATTCTTAAAGAATCTGCAGTTTAAATCACTAGTAGCAAATACCTAGAACTACTGTGAGAGTCCAGATAGGGATCTTTAGTCTCTAGAAAATTAATGATCCAGCACAAACTCATTCATGATGGTGAAAGACATGATAACTACATGATTATTTTTCGGAAAAGTTGAGTTATTAGAATGGTGGACTTCTAAAAAACAGTAGGTCTAAGGATAGATTATATGGATTTATTTTGGTTTAACAATAACTGGAAGGCTGTTTCGTACAACGTTGCCGGCTCCACGACAGCATACAAGATTTCGCTACCGACTGAACTCAAAGTCAACGCTTGGGTCTATCTACTTGAGTTGTATGCTACTTGGTCGAGACTTCGTAGTACGCACCTTCAACTTCAGTCAATTCCCTGATGTTAGCCCATGTAAGTAAACAATATTCAGATTGCACAAACTCCACACTGACAGAATGGTATTCTCCAGGTTTTGGTTAATTTCCTTTCACTATAAATCAATAATTGTTTGAAATAATTACATATAATGGACTTACACTGATGTGCGTTAGCTGAAGGTTGTGTAGTCATATCTATCCACCTAAAATCAAAATTAATATGAAAAGTCAGTTTCGTGTAACTTAGAATCTAACATGTTTGTGCATGGCTTTAAGTTACCATTAACACAATGAGATAAAATTATCAGGACAAATCCCGGAAAAGTAAAGAAATTAGGTATATACAGAAGATGGGAAAAGTATAAGGGGATGTCAGGTTTCTCAATATCATTAATCTCGATCATGAATCGTACTAGTTATGCACGACCATCGCATAAATCTATTAATTTGTTTCGGAAAATAGCATTAATGTCTTTTTAAAGCGATGCACTTCGTAAATTTTTGTCCTTGGGTTGTTTTAAGAATATTTTCGTGAGAAAAATATGATAGGGATAGGACCCAATTACTGATCAGATTTCATTTGTCCAAATATAAGTTGGTTGCACATATTTATACGTCTTTATACAATGTGAACTCTTTAAGTCAATGTATCAATCTCTCACTGCACAATTTAATCTTTCCCAAACTTTTGTGAATAGTAATCGGGGAATACCATTGAAACAAAGCAATTACACATTTGCATAGTTTCTCTTATTGGTCTGTTGTCGTAAATTAAGATTCGATGGGTAGCAGCAGCTGATATCTACCTGTCGACCCTAGTTGGTTACAAACATTTTATTGACAAGAGAAGTGGCATTTGCAAATATTGCATTCTAGAAATTTGGCTTTGTGCAAAAAAGATCCTTTGCAATTTTTCATATACTTGCACACTAAAGCTGGAGAACCGTGGGAAGCAAAGAGCCACTAATGCCTATTTCATTCTCAAGCGATGAATTTATCCACCGGTGATAATAGATAAACGTTGGCTCCAAACAACAACACTAACAGAATTTGAAAATATTAACTGTTGGATTCTGACTAAATGGTGTTCTTCTCAATGATAAAATACTGAATATTCCCAAGTCAAATTAAGGCAGTTATCAAATATTATTCAGCTATCAAATAAATTTTTATCGGATGTGTAAGTGAATACTCAATATATTTTCTAAACAAAATTCAAAAGATTCTCTAAGTCACCTCTTACACTTTAACCTTTACGATCCTGGATAAGTAGGGATTTCTTTCCTACCATACAAACACCGCTTATTTCCTTAAGTTTATTAAACACAGAGTTTTCGTGAAGTTAATTTAACTACCCATCCTTTTTAGACTTCGTAAACTGTATAGTACAGAATAACATTGATGAAAAAGAGAGCCTATTCTACGAGTCTTTTTGTGCTACAATTAGATTAAAAGCACTTAGAAGTTGAAAAGTCCTGAAATGTTTCACCGTCTTATAATGATAAAAGATGCTTTCATTGTTCAGCTGGAAAACATTATCGACTAAATATATAAGAACTTTCGTCTAAACTAGAGCGAATAGTTCCACAGTATTTGAGCGCCGAGTTGGTGTAAAACATTAAATAGGAATAATATATATTTGTAAAATCTCAGCGAATGAATTTGTAGTAAATTACTACAAATTCATTCGCTGAGATTTTACAAATATATATTATTCCTATTTAATGTATTATCGACTAAAGGTTCAAAAAATCAGTTTCAAATCACAATATAACTGAGGTTATTTTTAAGACAAATAAAATACTGCTGATCAAATGAAGAAATTAAAATGTTTACTACAAACGTATACATAGTGTAATCGTCAGGATGCCCCCAAATACCCTGGTACGGCCGAGAGTGGGGAGAGTCACCTCTCCCTCTCGAAAAGCTCTCACATGGCCACGCGTATATAGCCTCTGTCAGGGGAGTCCTACTCACTGCCTACTCGTGGCATTACTGTTTATGAAATTGAGAGGACGAAAAGCGAATGTCCGGCGCTTTAATCGGGTTGGTGGACACTGCGAGTCCATCTAGGGGAGTTGGAAAACCCTGATTCCAAACCAATGGTGCACATGGGCTCCAGTATCCTGAGGGAACAAATGGCGTACGAATCAACCGTTGATCACCGGCTACCATGGGACTGCATCTCCTCACGATGCTCCACTGCCTTGTGGATCAGACATTCAGGTCAAAGGCTCCGGGTGTGGCTCTCTAAGAAAACCACCTGCTTCAGTCTGGGCACCTGAGCAGTATCACAGCCCTCACACAAATCGAATGAGATTTGTGAGGCGCATATTTATCTGGTGCTTCCTTGTACCAATATTTATGTGTTTAAATAAATAAATAATCGTCATGACTTACGTTTGCTCTGTTTTGCGCTTATGCTTTCTTTGTTTACGAATAACAAATACAATAGTTAAAACCAAGAGAATAAGTCCAAAAATTGATACTAGAACAATACAGAAGAGAATACGATATTTACTACAAATCAGTAGGGTGATCTGTAAAATAAATTGTTTTAAAGCAGAGAATTTAAACTCAGTTAACTGAAGTAAACAGTAGTACATTGAATACCCCCATAGAAAGTAACTGGAATTGTGAGAATAACAAAGATAACGGTTCTACATCCCGGTTAATTTATTTTATTCGATACTTCACTGGTATTCTTCGTTACAGTACCTCACAACTGAGATAACAATGATGTATCCTTTGGAACGAAGATAATCACGGAATTATTATTGTGGATTATGTGCTAACTTAATAATATCTATATACTGGACCCACAAATTCCTGAGAATTGATACTCTTGAAAAATTTATATCCCACACTGAGTGGTTTTCTTAAGCCATGATAATGATGACAACCGGATACTTGTTGTAGTAGTGTCCTGGTGATTGCAAAACACCCACTATTTTTGTAGGATAACTTTAAATTGCTTTCAGTATAATTTACAATAAAAACTAGAAATACGGTACATAAAACGAAGTTTGAACAAAGACCAATTATTTTTCAAAAGATCATGATATATAGTAGCATATATTACTAATGTACGTAATTACATGAAAATATCTTAAGCAGGATTTCTCTGTTATACGCAAACTAATAGGAATTCGACAAAGTCTGAATAACATGAATGTTATTCTGATTAACAATATGGGAATTTTCTGAATTTTAAAGTATGAATAAGTTGATACAGCTATATCTTGAAATGTTTTGCGAATGTTTAACAGATTTAGTTATCAATGAGCTGGATAAATAATTATGTAACCATTGAACGAATGATATGTATATATATATATATAAGGTACATTATGAAGTTACTATTGTAAGGTACTTCGATATGGCATGGTGACAAAGTATTTCAATCATAATTTCCTGAACTGAATTATCGTTTTTTATATCACATACAAACTCATTATGTCATAAGTTGAAATCTAATTTGTACTGCCCTTTTTATTATCAGTTGTAGCTTTTTTTATACAAATAAAGAAGGTATAAAACAAGCGAACAGAATTATTGAATGTCAGACTATTACGTTGAATTATTTATTTTAATGTCAACTTTTTACTTACTGGTTATAATAATTGCAAATAATGGGATGGGGATACCGTTGATTCTTCCAGTACCTATGTTGAATGGAAAGAAAATTCAAAATTGGTGTAATGTGCATGTGTGAACGGATGTCTACTGAACAAGCATTATAATGAAATAATTAGGCTAAATGACATCATTTTAATTGACTGCTGTGTTCGGTTTTTCATATCAATAAGTTTACAATGTCATCAAATATGAAGAGGGATAATGTGCATGTTTCTAAACTGTATGGCTTATATTGTACTGCATTGTTAATTAATCACATAATGTATACTTGTAAAACTTGACTCTATGATTAAATTAGATTATCTCTAAACGACGTTCCAACACAAACATTGGAACCTAATAATATGTAGAATCATATATTTAGCTGTAGAACATATCTATAGTGTCATTTTGAATAATATTACATCCCTAGTCAGATCCTACTAAACTGAGTAGTTCCTCATTCTATGAGTGAAACACAGAAAGAAATGATCGATCTTGAACATAAACGTGGAATGTTAATGGACTGCACAATTACAACCATATTTACAAAATTTAAGAACTGTATACATTGTTTTTAGTGAATCTGGATCAGCGATAATCATTGTACTCTTAAGCTAACCAATCAGTTAAGGGGTTCGAAGGTTGAATTTCGATTCGAAAGAAGGGATATTTATTTGGACGGCTCGAAAAACATCATTTGCTCATGGACATTCAACACTAAATAAAATATACCAAAGTATTCACCGCAACCAATAAGTAACAGACTAAAATTAACAAAGATAAACTCCAGTATTTTGTTCAAGTTAATCTGAATATTAGAAAAGTAGAATTTATTAGCATTTGAACAATTTTTCTTCATGAATACAGAGTTTACTATTTAAAACATTCCACTAGACATAACCTTTAAGTCAGAGATTTTTTTACAGAAATGATGTGCGAATCATAAGCGAGTAAATTAGCACTTGATTAACCCAGTCGGTAGATTCTCAATACTTTTTACTCATATAATCAGTAATATGAGTACCTTTCCGGTGAGGTTCCATCAAAAGAAATTTTCAAATACTCATAGAATGACTTAATTAGAACTTTTTTTATTTTACAAACGGACTATAATCCATCCAACACTTAAAAATATGGGTTAGAATTATTAGTTTTATTCATAACATTAATAGGAATTATATTAAGTAAACTATACCAATAAAAAGACGAGAAAAATATCCATTACTATACTACACTTACACAAATAACCATTTTCATCGGATCCATCATGACAATTCGCAATTGTGTCACATGTCAGAGAATCGGGTATACAATTAGTAGCCGCATCCCAACAACGAAATGTATCTGATGGACAGTTGTATGATGGTCCTAGAACTGTTAATTAATGTCAATTATAAGGAGTTAGTAGAGTGATTAATAATAAAATATGTATAACAATAACTGATAAGTAGTAAATTATCATGTGAGACGAAGTCCCTGATAATGTAAAAGGTAGATGGAAAAATGGCTTTAATTATGTAATTTTTTGTCAGTGGGACAAGTTATATCATGTCTTTATAGTGACAAATGAATGCACTGCTTTTAATTGTATACACGGGACTGACAGTTTGTATTGGTTGAAAAGAAGTAACTAATTCCATCCATTTTTGTGGATAACCGGATGAATTCAATCACATTTTTAAAAAAAACCCATCATGATTTTTTATATAGGTTAGCGATTTGCCTTACTTTTATGACAAAAACATTTGGTTGTATGAAAATTTACTAGGATTCAGACTGAAATCACTACACGGCTACAATACTCTTTGAATGCATCAGTAAGTCAGTGAATGAAATTTTCACACAATGGCATTTTTTAAAAACTGTACAGACGTAATTACACATAATTTTACTATGTGTAGTCTATAATAAAACATATTCACTTGAAGGGTGTTATAAATTTAATCACAAATTTAATATACAGTTCTCATTTCGTTACAACGCTGATTGAATCATGTAAATTAGTCATGTAATGATTCATGTAATATGTGCGTACAATTGTACGCACGACTAATATCTTTTTGAAATTTACGAAATAAGACTCTTATTAATGTGATGAAAATGTATCTGGAAGTTCATTTGCTTCGTACCAACAATTTTATTCATTATTGATCAGAATATTTAAGAAAATTTATACACGTCAGATGATCCAAGTTTTTTTTTCTTTATAATAAACAAACGAAATGATTCATAATAGCGACCTATAGTTGTTTTTAAAAAGAAATTGCCAAAAGTTAAATAATTTTTGTTTAGGATTTTTGCGTTGAAATACGATAATAAATTAGTGATGTGCAACTAGTTTAAAAATCATTTCACATAATTTTAGTGAATATTTTGTTATATCCGGACGAGAATTAATGAATGGTAACCGCTGAGAATTATTTATGGAAGTAGTAAGAGTATAAGCACTAATGTGAAAGATTAGCGTTTGAAGATGTTATTCAAGGGGTATAATCCAGTAAATAAATTTGGAATGAGAAAAAGGGTGGGGATATGAAGAATTCAGAAGATTAGAATTTGGGAGAACACAAAGAATGGATGCACCTTCGCCATTGCAAACGATTTTGAGCCATGTCATTCAAGGTCTCAAACCATAGATTGCTATCATCTTGCGGATCCCAACCAGGTAGTCTACACTTACCGACATGGCTCACTCCACTTGTCAGTGACTTCATGGATTTGTGCCACTTTTTGGTCTGACCGCCCTGAGCTTTCTCCCAACCTACTCCTACACCATAAAACATTGCACGTCGGTATCGCGTGATATATTAACAGGGCACAAGTTATAACATATTTATCAAACGTTTGTTTTATGGTAATTTTACATACTGTATGATATACTGATTAATATATATTTTGCCGTTCATAAACTACAGTCTGCTACTTCTAAATCTATTAATCAGTGCTATACCAGTCCAAAGATCCTACTTACGCAAATACAAAGATTCATAAATATAAGTGTGCTGTGACCTTGCATTTTATGTTGCTTATTCAAATAATAAAAATGCTTATGACCTAGTTGTTTGACTTTCTGGTCTGCTGACCGAAAGTAAGAAAAAATTTGAAATAGCCTATTGATAGTGCAGTGAATACAGTAATGGAGTTAGTAGGTTTGTTGTTAGCGGCTTAAAGAAGACAGGACTGTGTGATTTACATTTATTTGCCGAAAGAGACTAATAATTTTAAACATACAAGGTTGGTGATTCGTCTTTAAAGGTTAAACGCCCTATTACAAAAAACCCAAAAATTACAGAAAAGTTTCCATTTTTGTACTATTTATTTGATAGCCGAATATTCCCATAATATTATGTGGTAAAAATTAAATGTAGAACAGTGTTTGACATTAGAATGAGAGATAAATGATCTGTTTTATTCAGGAATCAGCAGCTAAGTAACCATGTATCCCAAAATTCATGGTTCCAACCAGTCTCGAACCCTATACCTAAAATAAAAAAACACAGGGAGCTTATCATGGATTCCAGTGCTAACCACTATCCCAGATCTAAGCGAGATTTGAATGCAGGTAATGTGAATATACTTATCAAGACGTATAAGTCCTAGCCATCAACAACCAGAAAACCAAGTCCTTGGAACTGATAATCTCTTACAAGGGTTCAATGTTTACTATTTATTTGAAGAAATTAGAAGCTTCATTCCCTGATTCGGATCGCAAGAGAAGTACCTTGTTTGAAGTAAAACGGGTTCAGCGCTTCTAAAATAGAAATAAGTGATTAGCGAAATGACCGCAAAACGGATTACGCAACTTTTGCTTTGTATTTAAGTTAAATCTTCAAATATTTCCGTAGAGTTATGAAGGTGATGATGATGTCCGGGTCGGTGTTAAAGCGTCAGTCAAATCAAACATTTCCACACATAACATTTGAATCTATATAAATTGTTATTTACTTGTTATTTTTTCAAGCTAACTGAAAAGTGTATATGCTTTCATATTGATAAACCGGACAAATAATAATTAGACTTTAACCCATCCTATAACTTCATCAGTTCAGTAATCACGTTGTACCACACTCACTTTCTATTTACGATTAATTTTAATAAATCGAAAAAAAACATGTTTATTTCCTAAACATGAAACATTATGATTGTTTTAACCGTTTCACAAATAAGATACAGAGAGATGTAATGAATTATTTATTGGATAAAGCTAAGTTTATAAATTTACCTCCAGTCTTCTTCTAAATCGTGAGCTTAAAATTTCTCTCCACTTTTCACTCCGTGAATTCATTCTCTTTTCTCGATTCGTATTCTCAATAATTAACAACTTTTAACACAATCGACACTACAAATGCTCCTACCACCTTGATATTCATGTCAATGATTGTATTTTGTTGTGATTATATAACGTAGGGAATCGAACATGATGTACATAAGTTCCATGTTTTAAGTTACTTATGAGTGAATGAGTGTAGAAAATCAATAATAAGGTATATGCGTGGTATCGAGTTGCATTAGAAGAGAGTTTTTACCTATTTATACCAAGAAGATAAAGAGTGAAATGCTAAGGTAGGTTATTTTAGAATTAGTTGAAGCTATCTCTCTAATTAATGGTCGATTCACAAATGATAATACGTAAATAGATTATGAAATATTTTAAATTACCGTATGATGATATTACAAATTGATAGGCAACATCTGATGCAGCAGAATTAGCTGGATCAAATAAGATTTGTATTTTCAGATTTGATGATGACGTATGCACTACTTTATCTAGCATAGATAGATAATTTGTACAGTTGGCTTGAAACTAAATAAACACACAGAAAAAGAAGGAAAATTATTTGACCAATAAGCTGCCACGTAGATATTCAATATTACATAAGTAATTTAGACCATAGATATTATGATCACAATTTTGAGTTTTGGCTGGAAAAAGGAAATAGGTGATTTTTGTCCTCTTTGAAATTCGTCGGTTGCATGTACCTTTGCTCCAGTTTTACTGAAGTTCGAGTTCAATACTCATTGCTTCCAAACCCTACAAATTACCTGATAAGGAACAATCAATTACTTCTCTGTATGTGTATTTCTTCAATTTTATCTAGTCATACGGCTCTTTATTGTTGCACTTCAGTTATTACTTTGATTCGCAGTGTAGGATTTGTATTAATCCTTCGAAATCAAAACAAACTTCTCTATATATTTGGGTCTATTCGTCAGTTCAATACCAGAACTTTTATCAAGTTCGATCAACATTAGGCTATCAGCACTTAGTATTTTTAGAGGGGAGTTACAGAGTGTTTAGTCACAGATTATAGATTGAAGGGATAGTCTTATGTTAAACTGATTAACCAAGTAGACTAGTTAAAACTTGAATCATAAAATATTGTTATGTGTAAGCTCTGAATAAAATAAGATGCGGACTGTTTCTCTATGGTAGCTTTACTGTAGATTTTGGAAGTGTAAGATGTGGAACCAAGAGGGATGATTTCATACTTAGTTCTATTCAGTTTTGCAATGGCTTAATGAAATATGCTTTTATAGACTGTCAGAAAAAAATTCATATAGATCTATGCACTGCTTTCGCTGTACTTGATTGTAAATCTTGTAGAAAATAGATATATTTTCTTCAAGAAACAACTCTAAGGTTTTCATTTGGATTATCGAATCGACTGGAGGTTAGTTAAAGGGGAGATATAATTACATAATTTGTAATGAAACTTGGAAATGCAGATTTCATTAGTGAGACAAATGAGCGTTTTCGGCAAAACACCCTTCATTAAAAAGAATGAATGAATGATTTCAGCTGGTAATTATCTGTTTTTTAAACAAACATCTGAAATACAATATATTGAGGTATGTTTTGAAATAAAATTACATTGACACAACCAATAGACAAGAACACAAGGCCTATAAAACTACTTTTGCTAACGGAACAAACACACTTAACTTACAATTAACTTAGTATCATCAGGGACTTTCATTGGTATAATCATATTTACGTCACTATTATCAATTAGTTCATCTCTAACAGATGTGAATTCTTTGATCTGTATAACTGGACACGTTCCAAATTGGCTAGGTAATATTAACTTCGTAGGATAAATACTCAAATACTGATTTTGGTCTGACGGTTGGAAATAACACAGAGTTCTGCCGATCGCACGTGTATGTGAAACCACTGCACCGAAGATAATGAATGGTTTTTCTGGCAATCCAAAACAATCCTGTGTGTCAACTGTTTAGAAAAAAGATTTTAAAAAAACTTAAACAGCATAAAGTACATTTTTAAAAGCACTACTTTTGAAATCCATAGTAGACGTTGAACAGTTTTATGGTTCGTTATCTGATTTCGTACATATTCTGTGGAAATAAATTCAATTTAATAAATGAGCAACAGTGGGAATTTTAGAGATAAGTTACTTCATAAATATCCAAAGGAAAATCATAATTTTGTTCAATTCCATAATATTTACGAAAGTATGGTATGTACATACGAAATGAAAAATATCACTTCATAATTACTAGGTGTTTGGTAAAAATTCTTGAAATAACTTGATAGCGTTAACTCACAAACAATAGGTCATAAATGCATCCCATTTCTATGAAGCTTTAGGCGAGAAAATCTCTAACCGGTATTTAGATATAGAGCTCATATGAACTTATATTAATTACTGTTTTGTACAACATAGGTGTGGTAAGTCTACCTTCAAACCTTGAATTTTTGGGTCAGTGCAAAGCACAATTATTACATATAAACGTTATCGACAGAAAATTCTAGGTCCATCAGTAAGATTTAGAAGTTACAGGCATCAAATCAACTAGATATCTCTGTTACAAATGGTTTCATTTAATAAGTAGTCAGTTAGTCAGACACAACGTAGAACTTCGTACGTACGAACATCAGTTCGAGTTGCCATACAACATTAACACAGAGATGCAGTTGTCCATTCAAATCTCATAGTTGTAGAAGTAGTAAGAGTATAAGCATTAATGTGAAAGATTAGCGTTTGAAGATGTTATTGAAGGAGTATAATACAGTGAAATAATAAGTAACTAACTGACTTATAACAAGTAAGGCAATTATGAACCACTGACAATGAATGAACAATGCTATATAGCGGAACTTGACGTAACATAAAACCACAACAACATAGTTTATCAACATGAATTGGCCATTCATATTAATCAAGACAAATAAGGACCATACTTCATGCTTTTTGTAAAGCAAATCGAGCGATCGGAAACGTTTTTATATGATTTTGAATAGCTGGCCAATCTTAGACTTAAATGAATTTATAATAGCAAACATGTTTCTCTCATGAAATCAAAGACACATTAAAGACTTTTGGTGTATAGTTGTATGTTTTAGATTTTATTACAAGAAAATAGGTTGATGTGTTTAAACACTACGAATCTTATGTTAACAACAGCGTTGTAGTCTATCCTTCTCTTTGAAACATATACAAACCAAATAAAGATGAAAGCCGAAAAACATTAAATAATCAGCGGTAGCTCATTACGGTATGCTTGTTGATGAGGTCATGAATCTTCATCAACTGAGATGGTTGGACCACGTGTTACGTATGCCTGAACACCGATTACCACAACGCGCAATGCTGACTAGTGTAGGAGATGGTTGGAAGAGAGTTAGAAGCAGTCAAACCAAAACGTGGCATCAGAGCTGGAAGTCACTAACTTCTAGTCTGAGCCATGTTGGTAGATGCAGACTACTTGGATGAGGTCCGCGTGACTATCGTAACCAATGGTTGGAGACTATAGGTGACATGGCCCAGAATCGATCACAATGGCGTAGGTGTATACACTTCTTATCTTCTCTTAAACCTTGAGATTAAAATGGCCTCATATCTGTCTTTCTTCCTGTACTATATCCTTATCTGCGATCTTTCTTTTATATATTAACACCACTAAACTAACTACTATGAGCACGGTGTTCGTCTTGTTGTGCTAAGGAGGTATAGCAACTTGGACCGATGCATAAATGTGCCTGGTCCTACGTTTTAGCTGAGTGACTGTTGACTCGTTCATAGAGTAATGATAATTTAGTCTAGACTGATATCTTGGACTAAGGTTTTGCAGAGCAAAACTTTGTTTCATTCTTTTGATTATAAACTAATAGCTTCCTAAATTTGACGCTGCAAAAATTATCCAATATTTAGTGTATAAATCTCCCATTACTTCTAAAAGCACAGTAATTTAAACAAAGCCCCGAGAGAAGAGGACCCAAGGAAATGAATATATATATATATATCATTCTTAATTCGGATTGGAGATTTTTTTAATCCTCAGCTAGAACTCGTTTTCAGTAGATAGGTAAAACTCTAAACTTCCTTGCAAAGAGCATTAAATATGTTGCGATACTTTACGTTTATCATATATACATATGTATTCTGTACAACAATTATGTCAGACCAGTAAATGGGTCTTGATCTATCACTTCATAGAATAGACAATTTCCTCAATTAAATGAATAGAATACACAACCATCACTTTGTGACCTCTTTTAGTTAAGGTGCACCTAAAGCTTCATCTGAAGTAATCAGCAGGCATAACATAAAACTTACTTTTGATTGTCTTTGACCGCACAGAATAAATCCACAGCAGAAAGGCATATATATAAGTGGACAGAGAGCTGTTCATAATCATAAGTCACGCACAAATTCGAATTATGGCGTGAGATATCAATAATTAACGGAAATCACATAGACTAAAAACCAATAAACATAGAGCGAAATAATTTACAGCTCAATTAAGCGAAAGAAACAATGAATGTTTTTAACCGGAAGAAATGAGATGAGCTGAAGCGGCAGTTAATGGTTTCAAAATAAACAATGATTCACGTGGATTTCAATACACATTAACAGACGTTTTGATTTACGAATGTGAACCGACTAGGAAAATCATAGATTAGCACTCAGGATACTTGTGAATAGTCAAAGAAATGTTTTTCTTGTACCTATCTGCTGTGTTTACCTTTTCTGATCATATAAATAGTAATAACCAGACGATTTTTACATGGTGCCTTTGGTGTTTCTCAGCTCCCTTATATACAATTACCTGGATCTGATAAGTCAACCGTAATTAGACAAACAGAAAAAAAATTCACTACACCGGCTTATTATTACTAACTGATAAAAGTAATCAGACTGAAATCCATACTGTGAACCGGCGTCTAAGAAACACAGTAAGGAATAACCTATGATGAGCGGTTTTTGGACTAATAAAATTTACTGACAATGCATGTTTACTTCACAAATATCCCCAAATACAGTGTATCTTGAAAATACTCCAAGTCATGTATGTTAATATATATCACCCAGACGTCCACGCTAGGCTAAAAGTAAAGAAATGTCGAATGAGGATACGAATTCATTTTTGAAATCATACTCTCGATTTATTATCACACGGTGGTGTGCAGTCTGCGAGCGATTTTTCAATGCAGATCATGAAACATACCCAAAGAACATGCGAAAAATCATCACAGTAAACGGGTTAGTAAAAATGATATCATGACTAAGTCTCTGATACAATTAAAAAAATTTCACTAGTCTTTAAGATGGTCAATAATAGAGAATATTTGGATTGTAGCGTTTTAGATGTTTTAAAATTAGGCTTCGAAAAAAAACGGACCCAAAACCAACCATACATCTGGAATTAGTAAGCTTTTAGTCCCGTTTTGGACTTTAGTAAGACATTTTATACCTTAAAACTTCTCGTCTTATGAAGTGGTTTTTATTCATTGACAAACTTTTCTTTAGTATCTGCTGTTTCAGATTTTAGATGTTTTGACTACAAAATATGTTCGTTCTACGATTATCAACATTTATCTAGTACCTCCACACAGTTTTACGTTAATCATTAGATAGAAACGAAAATGGGAACGAAGAGTCCGTTCAAAATGATAACAAACACGATAAGCGTTTTTGCATAGAGAGTCGCTACATCTCAATCGCAAATATATACTTAAGTTGCATGTGTTGATACATAGATGCGTCTTTTGGAACTACTGAAAAATAGGTGCTGTGAAAGAACGTATAAAATCAGGGAGTGGTTTAAAATCTACTGATTAGAGCGTTGGTTCACAATAAATGAGGTAATTGGAAAATGAAATGAATACATCAAAATACCAGGAACTCTGATCTCCGATCCCATGCGAACCAGCAGATTGAGACGGAAAAAGGACATGTGAAAAATCAACTTCGGAGCAAAAAAATCCAAGTTTAGAATAGCTGATCATGATATTCGTGGTTTTTTTAAAGTTAACATATATTGACATGCTTAATACATTTTAAGGATGTAGAAGTAGATCATGAATACTCTACTTTAATAAAATTTTCCACCAAAACCCAATAAACCCTTTATTGTTAATTTTCAGGTAGATAAAGTACTGTTTTTCAGAGTCTTACATCATGAATTTTAGGCATATACGCTTACACGGCAATATATTAACATCCTAATTGTTTTTTGTCGAAGTCATTTTAAAAATAAGAATACAAAATTTTTAAAAATGAATCGAAGCAATGAACTGTGAATAATAGGAATAGATATATAGCAAAACAGTTGCCACAGGAAGTGCTGTCTCCGGAAAACTCAAATCAAGTGACGCTCTATGTACAAGGTCACGAACGGTATATTAACATATGGTCTAACTAAACTGTGAAACTTCTAACCTTGATTTGCCAAATAAGAAAACAATTTCTCCTTTGAACTTTACGTCTGCAGGTTGCTGACTATAGGAACTTAAAGGTTTAAAATTTATTTGATTGCTTTGGTAAAATCAATGGGATAAAAATAATAGAAGTTTCTTTCAGTATCCACAGAACCTAGAAAAAATTTAAGCTTTCTTCCAAAAGATTCGGTAGATGCCTTTCGCCCATTTTTCGAACGGGAAGTTCAGTCCTAACGTGATTTGCATTTCTTTAACTTTTGCTGTGTTCTTACGCAACAAAAGTACCATTTCTGATCTAAAAAATCTATTCTGATCTGTACGTTCAGTGGATTACTTTTTTGAGTTTCACCTAACTTAGTAGTTACCTGTGATTTTGCCTCAGCTTACTATTCTTTTTTCTTCAGTTTTTCCCGTAAAGGCTGGTTTCAGCTTATCGTAACCCTTTTACCCATTTTTGCCAGGTTTAGTGTACTGTGTTTCTTTTAACGGTTTTAGGCTTTCTGCTTGTATCTATAAGATAACTTACGTCAATGTAGTCATGAAAAATTCATGCAAATGACCTGGATGCCGTTTAACTGTTACATCTGGCATGTAGTGAGACAACTGCAAAGATTGGTTCCACGAAGCGTGCACAGATCTCACAGCAGCTGCTTACGAAGGAATCAGCAAGTGGGATCTTAGGTGAGTATTTGTTATGTGCAACGTGGATGTTTTCGTTTTGCTGAACAACATCATTGCCCTATTGACAGGTCTGTGGAACAGATTTTCCTGAAAATTTGGAAAATGCCAGTCACTCAACAGGTAGACAAACAAGTACTCTCAGTATAAACGAGAAGAGAGATATCGGCAGGTCTACTATCGATTGGGTATGTAATAGCACTAGTGGCGACATGCTGAAACTCAGCACCATAATAACATTAATGGTAATAGATTCCCTCAGCAAACTTGGGTCTCCCAGCACAGAGTCCTTGAATGCAACGGCGGTCCCTAAAAGCTCTGTAGGTGATTGAATCCACTTTAACAGAGTGAAAAAGGACCAGACGTCAGCGTCTAAACTGAACATCACAAGCATTGTACAGAAATCAACTGGTGACTTGGCCACACGGTATACCTCATTAGAATGTCTTTCCGGTCATCAAAGAGCCTAGGAATCGGAAACGCGTTTTGACCTCCAAACAACAAGGTGCCGAACCTGGACGCACTGGAAAACCTGGGACATCAATAATGGTTCGTGATGACTCTCTCTCATAATAATGAATCTTAAATACAACACTGACCTTCCCCTCATTCTGCAGGACAAAATTGCAGGATGCTCTGGGCAGAATTAAACTAGAAGCTTGAACTTCCTAGAACAGAGACTTTGACGGTCACACGGCTCACTTCAGGAAAGGACTCTGAGCATCTAAATAACTGGAGGCTATTTCGTGTACCACTTAAAAATGATTCCGACGTAGAGGACGTCCTGCTGGCTAGTCATTTACTGAAATCTGATGGGAACGTAGGAATACTGCCTAACGTACCGTTTTCTGAGCGGAATCTCATCCAGAATATCCCCAAAGAATCCCGCGAGAAGATTTCCCGCGGAAGGAATATTATTGTGCAAGCTATTTCGGAAAATGCGGACCCTGGTCAAACAAACTGTGATAATAGGGAATGGAAATCCATCAAGCAGTCTTTGAAGCTCAAGAACATACTGACTCAACATGTGACGAGACTAGCCAAGAAAGACGGAGATTCTAGACCTTGCCTAATACAGACAACTTCCCCATCCTCCCATATGGCGGCTGCAAATCTGGAAGCACTTCGCGATGTCATTTGCAACTGTCATCTATATGCTGAAAGGATTAACCCACTTCACTAGTCTCGAATTCTCTCATATCCAAATTCTAAGAGACTTCAATCTTCCTAGAGTCAACTTCGCGTGACATACCTATATATATGAGGTGAAAACACAACTGAAGCTCGGTTACTTAACCACATTGAGGTACTGGGATTATTCAAAAATGTGAAGTCGGCAACTTGTTGGAGCAACAGTCAGACGTTGCTGCTCTCAGCCTGTGCATTTACTAATGAACAATTCGTAGTTGATAACCTCTCAATTCTGGCTCCCATATGGAAAGGCGAGCACACCATCATATCCTTCAGTTTTGTCAGCAAAACTGAGCTAAAATAGCCCATCAACAACAGGCGCTGGAATTTCAAACTGTTGAATGTGTCAGCTTTACAGAATTACCGACAACAGGTGGATTAGAACGTTCACTCCCAACATGATGTAGATGCTCATTGGGACTCCTCGCTATACACGCTCTTATGTCCTATTAGGCATTCAGTTCCTCAAACGGTCCTCAAAATCTACAAGCAATTTATAATCACCAAGAGCCACACTTTTTCTTTGCTAAGCCGCAAAAGACACTTCTGGACGGAATACAAACGAACTGATAACAACTGCGCGTGCAGGCAATACAAATACATAAGAAACATATGCAGAAAGGCAATAAGAAAAGACAGGCTTCGGTACCAAATAAAGCTTGTCGATAAGTTTGTCTCCAATCCGAAAAGCTTATTTCGTTATGCAGCATCTCCTGGACAAGTCAAAACTAGAGTTTCGCAATTGCTAGGTCCTAGTGGTCCGACCAATAACGAGAGGGATGCCTCCAACCTATTGGCTGAACAATACTCTCGGACATTTCAACTGACTCATATCTATTACACTGATGAAAGCTGCATCTGCAGCTGCACAGGTCCTTCCGAAGAGAACCTGAGCGCTAACCTGGTGTTCCATGAGCTGTAGCACCCAAGACGATAAACGTGCACTTCAAAAGGATGTGACTCAACTTCAACGTTTAACAGATGACAACAGACTTACCTTTAACTCCTCAATATTTAAATTAGTACATCCGATACACGTAGCCAACTACAGTTACAACTTAGGATACTCCTCTTTAGAAGTAATACAAGCCGAAAAAATTTAAGAGTGTTGGTACCTACGATTTTAAGTCCTACGCTAACTTTGATAACAACGCCTTTCGAGTGAACCTTGCACTGGTAACATTGAAGCGCATTTTCGGCCAGTTTGACGGAGGAACTTTCCATATAATATTCAACAGTTTTATTCGTCCCCATTTAGCGTACGGAAACATAGCATTTCATCCCACACTACGAAAGGATAAGGACACTCTAAAGTGTATCCTACGGAGATCGATGAAATCAGTTTGGGACTCCTATTCAAACGTTATGAAGAGAGCCTCCAATATCTTAGGCTTTACCCGTTAGTGTATAGGCGTCGTAGAGGTGACCTTCTTAAGGCTAAAAGTATCCTTAACACTCGGCTTAGCCAAAATGATAACCTAATTGGTAATATCCAGAAACTGGAGACCCAACATAGTAGAACAGACCGTAGACACAACTTTCACTACTTAAGAGTTGTCAAATGCTGGAATTCGCTGCCTGTTGAGCTAATCCAAGCGATTTTACGAGAGCCCTTTAAGAAGAAACTTGACATATTCTTGAGAACTAAGGAGGTATTGGTAGCCCAGTGCTACTGGACGTGGAAGCTCGTTAAGCGAAAGCTTCTTCTATTCTCTTCACAAGCATTCGAATCATTTGAATCAATGTGAATTTCTGTATCTTACTGAAAAAACATGAATGTTCGAAAGCGTTTCGCTCTGAATGTAGTTTATTGACGAAACATACATGTTCTCTATAAAGGTGCTGAGAAATGCGAATGACATAATAAATCATAATTGTTTTCTGTTAAAAGTGTTCAGCGGTGTTTCCAGACTTGAGCATTGTGAGAGAGCTTAAAAGGGCTGTTTTCTTAGTCTAAGTGCTTTGCTATTTGTTCTTATTTAAACATCTTTGGAAAAATCGACACCCTTCTTAAAAGTGAGAAGACTTAAGGCAGTGCTGGACCTTCAGATCAGGTATTAGCAAACATTGAAAAGGGTGTTGAAAAAATCTGAAATCACGCTGCCTAGTCTCCAAGAATGAAACGCTAATGACGAATTAACTTTATTGTCTTCTGGTTGTTAACAGAACGAGAAACCTAGGGCATCACATAGTATAATGCCCTGGATATTTCCGACGGTAAAGAGTATAGTGCATCAAAATTCCTACTCTGATCCTTTCTTCAATCATAACTTGATCACTTCTTAACTCTCGACCATAACAAAATTTCCAATTCCGTATGATCGAATTTTATTATAACCTTGAGAATTCTTAATAAGATGTTGGAACTAACAATTTTTATAACAATTTCTCTAACGACACCTTATTTTCTAGGTGTTCTGAGTAAAAAATGAAAAATATCAAACCAAAAATAGGAAACCAATATTCGGAATAAAATTTATGTTCAAACCACGTTCAAAGCTTAGGTAAAACGAATGTATGAAAAATCAGTAGAATGTGTGATGCTCCTAGCAACATTCCATATAACGTTGGACACTGTATTTCTCCCGTAACAATTACCACTTAGGAAATACTCGGAGATCTGAGAATCAACAATGTTCATCACTGTCTTTTTCGTTGACGAAATCTGTGGAAATTAGATTTTCGTTTGTTTGCTAGTGTATTCTATTCAGAAAATCAAGATATCAGTTAAGCAGGGTTTATATCTTTGAATCTCAAGCACGTCAACGTTTAGCAGGTTTCGGTAATCTAAAGAACTGGGTAGTGTAAGAACCGTTTTTAAGGTTTTATGTGTGAAAATCCCTCAACATGCACACCTGTAAGTTGTTCCTCATGACTCCTCAATATGTACACTATTCTGGTCCTTTTTAGGTGGCATAAATGTAGCTTTTGTTTTCTTTATGCCTTCACTGAGTTTACATGCTTTTTCCTTGACTACATTCAGTTTATTTCAGTTGATACTTAGTCTTGGAGGCAACCGCATTGATTAGTTTTTCGTTTTGGATTGTGTTGCATGCACTGACTGGGATTATGCGATTTTGATTGTGTATTAGAGCACTCTTACAGTGATTAG